CAGCATCTTATTTATTTTCTGCAATCCACCCCAATACTTATTGAACTTCTCTCTCATAGCATTTGCTTTTGACCTGAGCTTCTCATCAGAATTAGTGCTCAATGCTATTAAGTTCCTCTCTATAGTTACAATCTCATTGTAACATTTATAAGAGCAGACATTTGATGAAGCTGAAACCACTAAGGTGGAGTTGTAGAAGATGACTAAAAACCTTACTAACCTTTCTATTTCATCCCAGTCATGCTTAGTTGGCGGTCCAGTCCTCTTGATTCCATCAATGCTTTCAGAGAAATAATCATTATATAGCTTATCTTCAGCCTCCATTCTATCAAAGGCTGACCTGAATTTCAAAGCTCTTGTTAACATCAGAAAAGTTGAATTCCATCTTGTTTGACAGTCCAATGATAAGCTTCCCCTTGTCATCTTTCCACTTTCTACCTTCAGCTCAAATGCATGGACTCTTTTACTTGAACCTCTCACATACTGCACAGCAGTTCGAATGGCTTCCACACTCTTATTAAGATCCCGTAAACCATCCTTGACTACCAAATTAATGATATGAGCACAACAACGCAAATGCATGAACTGTCCACCTAAAACTAGTGCATCATGTCCTACTAAGCTAAATGCCTCCTTAAACTTCTTCATAGCATTGGTGTTGGCAGTGGCATTATCAACATTGATTGTAAAGATCTTTCTTATTCCCCATTCTGCCAAACAATCAAGAAGCACAGAATTTATTGTTTCTCCTGTATGGTCAAGCACGTGCTTGAAACCAATAATCATCTTCTTTAGGCGCCAATTTGCATCCACAAAATGTCCTGTGATGACCATGTAGCTAGCTCCAGTCGTAGGTGCAACCCATATATCTGTTGTCAGAGAAATCCTTTGCTTATTAGCAGCAATAATCTTCATCATTTCTGCTTTCTTCTTCACATACTTCTCCACAATGTCCCTAGTTGATGTCCTTCGAGAGTGGGGTTTGTAGAGTTTAACCTTACTGCAAAAGTGTTTCCATGCCAAACTTTCTATAAATGAAAGTGGCAATTCACCTAGAACCAGCATCTCATTAGTAGCTTCCCTAAACACCTCTTCACTAACTCTGGACAGCTGCAAACAAGCACTACCATCACCATCACTAGTAGGATTTATAACTTGTTGAGTCTGATTTCTGCATTCCTGCCATATCTTGTATTCCTTGCAGATGTTTAGATGATTTTTCAGACAAGAAGTCCCATTAGTTGTCGCACAACCCATCTCTCTAGTACAATAATTGCAACGACACCTATCTTTTACTCCAGCGAGTCTTGTAAAATGATCCCATACCCATGACCTTGGTACTACTCTACATTTCTTCTTGATCTTTGGCTTAACCTTTGGAACTGAACCAGTTTCTTGTTTCTTCTTTTTGTGACCAGCTTTAGGAGACTCTACTTCTTCTCCATCCAATTCAATGTCTTCCTTTTTCAAATCATCTGCAGGTTTAGGTGAGGAAGAATCCATCTGCAGCAAACAGTCACACACTATGTTAAAAGACTATGCTAGAGCTAATGGGACTTCTTGTCTGAAAAAACTTATCAATAACAAAATCTTCTCTAAATCATAACGTTATACAAACATAGAACATGAACAAACATTCAATAATAGCATCAACAGAACTATCACCATTAAAAACGACATTTTTTTGCAAAAAGACTACAAACCGTTAACAGATCTAAGTATCTAACTAGCCTGGAAAAAGCTAAACAAAGCTAAAAGAGGAGTAAATATAAACTAGAAACTATAAACTTGAAGCCATAAACAGACATAAGTATCTAACATTTTTCTGGCAAAAAGACTACAAACCGTAAATTGATCTAAGTATCTAACCTTCAAAAAGCTAAACAAATCTAAAAGAGGACTAGAGGAGTAAATATAAACTAGAAACTATAAACTTGAAGCCATAAACAGATATAACCTCTGAGTGATTCCTTGAAGCAATTGACAGTGGAGAAGAGTCTCCTTGGAGCGTCTGAGAGGTGAAAGTTTCCAGTGTGGCAATTGGGGGTTTGGAAAGCATTATAAAGCAAAGGAAACTAGGGTTGAGAGTGGATTGCAATCGCTGCTGAAAGGTGAGAGACTGAGAGGAGAGCAGGTCGGCAAAAGTTTTCTGTCGAGAAGTGAGAGTCGAGACAAAAGAAAAGGTTTCGGCGTTTGAACTTTGAAGGACAGAAACAGAATCACAGAGATAACATGACCCTGTGTATTCGGGTTAGTGGATAACCGAATGGATTTCGGTTCGGATCGGTTTAAATCCGAAATCCGAATCATGCTCAACATAAAATCCAATCGGTTTTTACACAATAACCGAAACCGATCCAAATCGGATATTTCGGATCGGTTCGGATCGGTTTTTTCGGATCCGGATTATATGCCCAGGGCTATGTATAGGTGTGACGTACGCTTTGTATAGATGAGATAAAAATGTGTAGGACGTGTATGCTTGTAGGTTAGATGAATGTGTAGGATTTGGATAGTTTTCATAGATTAGATGAATGCTTAGCATGTGTAAGGTGAATGGGATGGATGTGGGATATGGATACATAAATTAGATGAAGGTGTTGTAATGTAAAAATGTGGATAAATTTCATAATTATATTTTGATGCATTCCAGTTTAAAAGTTCGATTTGTTCTCACATCGTTAATTCAGTGGTTTGTACAAAATATAAAAATACGAAATTTCTGTAACACCGCCGTTTTCCTTATGACATAGGATAACCAGTCAGTTATAGCTGATCAAACAATTGGCGGTAGAATAAGGGGATAAGAGTTTGAGATAACCATGATCGAAACCGACGCAATAACGAGACTGGTTATTGGGATAGCAATAACGAGAGGAATGTGTTACGAATTTTGTCATATGTGCGTGTTCAAAATTTTAGACGACGTTTGGACTTTGAAGATGAAAAATAAATTACCACCAAAATATATAGATCGTTGTGCTCTTCACTACTCTCTTTATAAAATCATCTTTTTATATAGAGAGAAAATACAATTAGTGGGCGGACATACATATTTGGATCCCATAAATACAAAATCTCAACTAAATGTATCAATATGGTTGAAGAGATACTGTATATGTATAAAATATACAGTATAATGTAGTAAAAGACCGAAAAATAAAAATAATAAATTCTAAAGTTCAAACCAGCAAATATTCTATATTTCTAACATAATAGAAAAGACATGAGAAGCACTCGCAATGTTGTTCTCAGCATACCGAATTAAACGCATTCATCATTTTTTCTTAGTGCCTCCCACGCAAATGTATATATTTCTGCCGCGTAAAGCCAATTTTATTCCCAATTAAATATACAAATCAACGACTCTATATATCGTCTATGCTAAATAGAAGACAAAGTAATTACTCAAAACATTTGATAATTCAAACCCATAAAAAAAAAACAGTATCAGAAGAAGAGGCCTAATAGGAGGCAATTACCAAAAATGTCCTCCTACGGCAAACTCGACGAGCATGAGCAAGCCATACTTGAGGCAAGTCGGAGGACAAGAAAGCGAATAGCCATTATCGCTATATCTTCCATTGTTCTCGTCTGCATCATCGTCGGAGCCGTCGTTGGAACCACAGCTCACGCTAACGGCAAGAAACCGTCGACGGAGGGTAACGGAGAGCCAATCTCCGCCTCGGTGAAAGCCTTGTGCGACGTGACATTGCACAAAGACAAATGTCTAGAGACCGTTGGATCCGCTCCCAACGCGAGCCGACTAAACCCGGAGGAGCTCTTCAACTACGCCGTCAAGATTACCGTCACGGAGCTCTCCATAGTCCTCAGCGAGTTCTCTAACGGCGAACACATGGATAACGCCACGTCAGCAGCAATGGGAACTTGCGTGGAGCTTATCGGGCTAGCCGCTGACCAACTCAACGAAACGATGACGTCAATCAAAGACAAAACGAAGAACAGCGACGATCTCAGGACGTGGCTTAGCTCCGTGGGAACGTACCAAGAAACGTGTATGGAAGCATTAGTGGAAGCCAACAGACCCAGTTTGACGACTTTCGGAGAAACTCATTTGAAAAACTCCACGGAGATGACTAGCAATGCGTTAGCCATCATAACGTGGCTAGGGAAGATCGCTGACACCGTTAACCTGGGACGACGTCGTTTAATGGCTAGTGGTGAGGCCAAAGTCGTTGCTAATGACTTGCCGATGATGATGATGAAAGGTCGGAGACTTTTGGAGAGTGGTGATTTGAGGAAGAAAGCCAATATCGTGGTGGCGAAAGACGGGTCAGGGAAGTATAGAACGATAGGTGAGGCTTTAGCACAAGTGGAGGAGAAGAATGAGAAGCCTACGATTATATATGTGAAGAAAGGAGTTTACTTCGAGAACGTTAGGGTTGAGAAGAAGAAATGGAACGTTGTGATGGTTGGAGATGGACAGAGTAAGACTATTGTCTCTGCTGGACTCAACTTCATCGATGGAACCCCCACCTTCGAAACCGCCACATTTGGTAAGTACATATAATTATGTATTAATTGGAACAATATTGTGAACATATATAATGTTATGTGTTTGTTTAGTGGCTAATTTCATATGATCACTGATTTATTTATTTATTTGTAATGTATTTATAGCTGTGTTTGGAAAGGGGTTCATGGCTAGGGACATGGGTTTCGTCAACACAGCTGGTCCAGCCAAGCATCAAGCAGTAGCTTTAATGGTAAGCGCAGACTTATCTGTGTTCTACAAGTGCACCATGGATGCTTTCCAAGACACGATGTACGCTCATGCCCAACGTCAGTTTTACCGTGATTGTTCCATCTTCGGAACCGTTGATTTTATATTTGGAAACGCTGCGGTTGTATTTCAAAATTGCCAAATCTTGCCTCGTCGCCCTATGAAAGGCCAGCAGAATACGATAACCGCTCAGGGCCGGAAAGATCCGAACCAAAACACAGGGATTTCTATCCACAATTGTACCATCAAGCCTTTGGATAACCTAACAGATATCCAAACGTTCCTAGGCCGGCCTTGGAAGGAGTTCTCTACAACGGTGATCATGAAGTCATTCATGGACGGATTTATCAATCCTAAAGGGTGGTTACCATGGGTAGGAGATACCGCACCAGACACGATCTTCTACGCCGAGCACTTAAATTTCGGGCCAGGAGCCTCGACCAAGAACAGGGTTAAGTGGAGAGGGTTGAAGACGTCTTTGACAAAGAAGGAAGCAAATAAGTTCACTGTGAAACCTTTTATAGACGGCAATAACTGGTTACCAACGACTAGGGTTCCCTTCAAATCTGATTTTTGATTCTTTTTGTTTTCTAACGAACATACAATATTTCCTTCTATTTTTCTTTTTCTTGTCTTGTTTATTTTTCAAAAAAAAAAAAAAAAACTGAATTTGTATTCATATAATTTCTTTTCTCTTTACGAAAATCATATACTATATCTATACGTCAACTTATACAACCAAGTTCCTGTTTTTCCCTTTTTTAAAACAAAAATAAAAAAGCTGATATCAAAAAGCTATTCATATTTATTTTTCATTGAAATCAAATAAATATTTTTAACATAGTTGTACCCTAATACTGTAATACATGAAACGTTTTAATTAATGCTTTATTCTACCAAATTCAGATTTCGAATAACAAAAATGAATAATTTTTTATTGCATTAAAATGAGGAAAGACCAATTCTCTATATATATAATATGGTAGTAAATTTTCATTCGGTGTGAAGCAAACCACCGTAGAAGGGAATATCGGTCTGAGGCAACCAAGTGTCTCCCAACGTGAAATTATATACGGTGAAGTTCATTGCTTCTGCCAAGTTCAATAGGCTATATCCTGACCACTGAACCCTTTTACTTGTATTAGCCCCCGGTCCAAAGTTGTCATATTCACCATATGAGATTGTGTCTAGCCCTGTTGTACCATTCCATTCTAGCCACCCAACGGGTTGGACAACATCGCTGATGTATGATTGTATGTAGACCGTCCTCGAGTAAGGCTTCCATGGCCGCCCAAGGTATGTCATGGTCGAGTTGGGGTCAGCCGCCAGGTCCGGGGCAGCTCCAATAGTACAATTAATGATGGAGATTCCAGTTTTCTGGTTTGGATCGGTTCTTCCATGTGCGGTCACTGCATTCTTCTGATTTGCCATTGGTTTTCGGGCAAATATGTTGCAGTTTTGAAAGATTGCAGCGGCATTTCCGAATATAAAATCTATGGTCCCTGTAACAAAAAATATTACATTATAACCTGATCAAAATGTATATACTTGCTTTAACTTGTCGGTTTAGTTTATAGTTGATATAAAATAATATATTATACCATATATGTCGCATTCACGATAAAATTGTCTCAGAGAATGGACGTAGAGAGTATCTTGGTAGCCTTCGAAACTACATCGATAAAATGTCGATCCATCCGCATTGTTTCTTACGGCCACGGCCTGGTGCTTCGCTGGTCCAGCTGTGTTTCGGAATGTCACATCAACTGCAACAAAACGGTCTCCAACCACCGCTGAAAACGCCAAAAATCGAAATATTTTAGGAGTTGTTACAAATACAAAGAAATATGTAAGAAGAAGAAACTGAAAATACTTACTAAAGGTCGAAGAATTATAAGTAGTCCAACCATCAATAAAACTGTGGTTTCCAGTAATGATGGTTTTGTTGATTCCATCTCCGATAAGCATTATGTTCCTTTTCTTATTTGAAATGACAACATATTCTTCGTAAAGACCTGCCCTTGCATAGATTACGAAGTAGCCTTGCTCCGGGAACGTGTGGTTGGGTGCGGCAGCCACGGCCTCAGTTATAGTGGGGTAGTTATCCGTTTCATATGGACCGACAGTTACTGCTTCCCTAACGAGGATAGAGCCACCGCTCGTCTCACCTAGCTCACCTAAATTTCTGTTAGCTTTCCGACAATCCTTGCTCTTGTCGCATGTTTTGCGTAAAACCTACAAATTATTTAGTTACTTTGTCGTTAGTTTTAAGTACTTGTAATAATTATTATGCACATTTTCGTACACTAGTTAATACCATGTGAGAGTATTGATTGGTCCAGAACAAATCATGTGGACCCATGTGATTTTATTCGATATCTATCTTTCGTTGTTGTTAAAGTTTCATATAGCTAATTAATGTTTATAAATTAAAAAAGCGAAAGTCAAAACTCAAAACGCTTTTCAATATATTCACAGTTGCGTTGACCCTGGTGTATATGTGACTAGGCCATATATCTGGCCATGTGCCATTTTTAAGTGTCGAAAGTACGTAAACTCCAAACTTTGTAAACATGCATGTGCAAATTTAAGCTTAATAAAACGAAATATCTACGCATGTTTTGGTTCATAATATATAAACTTACTATTCATATAACATATAACAGATCGTCCGATAAATTTTTATATATCCACCCTTAAAAAAATGTAGAGTTCAATACTTTTGGAGTAAAGGGGTATGTAAAATAACAAGAAATTAACTTTACTACATCATATAGTTTAAGGCTTGTGTGTTCTATATGCAATAATTTAATTAGGTGTATAAATCAATATAGCACTTTTATTGTCTGAAAACAAGAATATGAGCAAGTGCATATTTTTCTTCAACATTTTGAATATGTTTTTTATAAGAGTAAATCTCGTGTCAGCATTATTATTTTCTAGCTTATACTTTAGGTTTAATATCATAAATATGTAGAATGCAAAATGCTTTTATTATGAAACACTTCTGTACGTGTACTAGCTACCATCGTAGCTGGATGCTTAGAACATATTAAAATGTATTTCCACATACCGACATACAATTCATTAGGTATTTAAACTTGATTCAATATAATAATCTTGCAGAATAAAAAAAAAACCATTAACCTTTTCAAAATTATAGTCTTATATATGTACTTAGGAATTTCTTTAATATTTTATATTTCTAAACATTCCGACATGATTTACTGTCTAGGCTTTTTTTTTTTTTTTGGTTAGCTCGTGTCTATTTTTATATGTTAATATAGTTTTACTCATAAACATAAGAAGACAAAACAAGAAATAAAGTTAAAACGAAATTACCTTAATCAAAGTCTCGAGCGGTTCACGAACTGGTTTGTTACCACCGCCAAATATCTTTCCCTTGTCCCCTTTATACCTCTTCAAATTACGGTTAAGCGCGTGACTCACAAGCCCCAACGACACACTATAGAGGCGCGTGAGGTTTCCCAACGGCGTCCCTATAGCCGTCGCAAACCCGCTCTTAGCGTCCACAAGTCCGTCGAGGCACGTTTCCTGGTTAGTCACAACGCCACCGAGAAGACTCGTGACACGATCAACGAGAGAAGCTGTCATCACCTCCGCCGCTTTCAGCTCTTCCGCAACCGTCTCGAGATAGTCAACGCTAAGCGCTGCTAGCTCGCCGCAATCAGCCACGGCACCGACTTCTTCCGCCGTCGCCGCGCCGGGATCATCCTTCACTCGCTCGGAAAAGCGGTTGATCACTTTGGAGAGACGACGAGCTTGTTTGATGCATTGCTTCATTGTGAACTTTCCGTAGTTGTAAGGATCAGACGGTGAGGATTTAAAGGCTGATAGGATCGTGCGGCAGAGCTTTGGGTACGGAGTTGATTTACACGCGATGTTTGGTGGTTGTGACGGAGGGGGTGTTGGAGGCCGAATTGGAGGCTGTGTTGGAGGCTGTGATGGAGGCTGTGACGGAGACTGTGATGGAGACTGTGACGGGGACTGTGACGGAGACTGTGACGGAGGCTGTGTCGGTGAGACTAGCAAAGTCCATGACAGACAGAGAAGAGCCAAGAACAAGAGAGACGAAGAGAAGTGTCGAGTTTGCATTTCTTTTTTGTTTGAAGTTTTTTTTTTTTTTGGTCCTTATTATCTACTAGAGAGCTTTGTCCTGTTTCATGTATGCATGGTAGGGGTGATATATAGGCATATGCATAAACATTTATAATGCATGGCTTGAGAGAGAAACTTACGAATAATGTAATGCATGTTGCCTTGTTTAGGAAATTATTAGTCAGAGAAAAATATTATACACAAGACTATATACGGGCACGTATATATCATTTCAATTTGATCAAATAATAGAAAATGTTATAGATGCTTTTCTTAATAAGTTACCGTAAGATCCGATGGAGTGCACCAGGTGGTCGAGTCGTACATTGACCAAAAAAATATGGATATTAATATTAGTATATGACATAGTTCACATTTCGATATAGGATTGGTGGTTATTTTAATAACTCTAGAGTCGAACTTACGTTCATTGCAACTTTAGAGCGAGATTTTCAATACAGTAAAGTTTTAGCCAGTTTTAGATAATTAGGGAAAAGATCGAACAAAGGTATATCATTGTATAAATCAGGTTAATACATGTTTTAGAATAAATCGAAACCAATGATAATGTCTATAATTCAGAAACCAAAAACGTAATGAATGATTAATTAGAATGAAGTTAAAATGAATACATGTGAGGTGTTGCGGAGCTTCGGGGCGAAAGCAAGACCCGTTTATAAGTTTTTTGAAATGACTTAATCCATCACTTTGTATTTTGTTTGTTACACTTACAAGTTAGGCTCCAGTTAATTATACTCTTTCCTAACGTTGGTTCGTTACCAATATTGATTTTCTGTATTAGATTAAAACCAACTTGAAAAGTCAAATGATCTGCATAGAAATTCAAGATTGATTAGTCAAGGGGTATTAGCGTCCAAAATACATGTCTAATATAATATGCCACACAATAATCTTATAGGATACAATCTTACACATAACTTTAGTTGCTTTGAAGAAAATAAAATAAGATATTATTGAAAAAATCATTAGCTAGAGCATATGACTTAACAAACAAAAAAAACAAAATATATGGGACATATGGTTTTGTAATAATTCATATATTACCAAAATACAACATTTCTTCGTTGGCTAAAAATTGTCAAACAAATTTAAGAGCTGGATGATTTATGTGTTATTGGCAAGTTTAGCATTGTCATACAAACCGGAAGACTTGCCGAGTTTTTTGGTTTGGTCGGCCAAATTACTTTTTAACGAAAAATAGGTATCGTGTTCACCTTTTAAACAACATAACGTAAATATAAACACTCTCTCGGGTTCCAAAGGTCCCGAGTGGCCGTATCGTAATAACAATCCTATCTACCCAGGGCTTTTCGTCTTTTCAACAATTGCTGCTGTAAATCATTGTCTTCTAGTAATTCCGGTTTTGCTCTCGCAAACCTCGACGTCGACGACGAACACGGAGCAGACCGGTCGGTGATCGGAGAATCGTGACTCGCCGCGCACGTACGTTAGCTGCCGTATTCCATCACCGTGCCAAAGAATCCTATCGCACCTGACGAAAGGTATGACATAAACCCGGTTCAGATTAACCGAACCAAAACCAATCCAAATAAAAAAAGAGAATTTACTCGGTTAACCATACCAGGCCGGAGTTCTTCTCTTGTTCTTCTTCTCTTTGGTGGTGTCTCCTGCGTAAGCATCTGAGTTATAAGAATACTTGTAAGTTGGTGCGAAGAAGATTTTGCCTTCGTGCCATCCTTTGAACACTCTTCCTGCGTCTCTTTCAATCTTGAGCTGTAATTTAGTTTCAGAACCCTTTTTATGAGTTTGATCGACACTCAATTTTTTTGATTTCTTGAGGGGAAAGGAACACATTGTGAAACCTGATCTTTGTTTAGAAGAGCGTCCCAAGCGTTTCTATCCAAGAGGGTCTTTGTCTCTGAGTAACTCAATGCTATTCTGTAGTTCAAATCTCCAAGCCAGATGACCCGACTGAGAGTAAAAATGCGATAAGAAAACAGAAGATACGTTCAATTGAAGAGGATTGTTAAGAAACAACAGACGTGAGATATGACCTATAGTAAAATATAAAGAACATCAACTAATCCACACTCTTCAAGAAATATGATTTGCAAGTTCTTGAATCTTACTCGTGCTTAGTGATTCGATCAGGGACACGGGTGAAAGAAGTTCTGCAGATTCTAGGGAAAGTTGTGTTCTTGAGAATCTCTATCACATCTGAGTTTCTGCGACGTTCGTCTCCTTCTCTCTCACCAGAAGCTAGATGACTGCAGATGAAGCAAAAGCTCGTCTTGTATAGCTGCAAACTCACAGCTATGCATCCCTGTGATGAACATGAAAAGAGAATATTAGAAGCAGAACCTTCTCTTCTTGTTTTGGTTTTAAGCGTGAGAGTGGTAAAGTAGACTACCTTGTTTCCTAAGCAACCCATGATTCCGCGGGTGACGCAGGAGATTCTGAGATGAGAAACGTGTTGGATAAGCTCCTTTCTCATCCACACAGTGAGGAATATTCCCACCATTTGTTTTGATGCCACCAAGCCATACTTCATCGTCATCTGGTTGCTTACAAGAGAAGCTACCTTTTCCCCTCCTCCTTCTTCCTCGTCTTCATCATCATCGTCATCATCATCTTCGTCTTCTTCCTCATCAGATATTACACCGGATTGGTTAACTAGACCTTCGGGACATCTGAAACAAGATTCTCTCCCGTATTTTCTTACAATCTCTTCAGAGATAGTGCTGCAGTTACAGATCTTCAGCTTTCTCCTGCAATCTGTTCTGAAACTTTCACTGATCTTCTTCAAAGAAGGTTTTGCAAAGAACATCGACCCAGCGCCAAAAGAAGGAGTTTTTGGGCCAAGTCTTCCTCCAGAAGATGCTGATTTGTTCAAGGATTGATTGATCATAGCTAACCACTTAGCAGCAGGCTCGTTGTCTCCCAGAACAAGGACATTTCCAGCATTCAATGGAACAATCTCCTGAAATCTATGAGGAAAGATTCAATCGATAACCCCCAATACATATATATATCGATGACATACAAAAGAGATTTAAGAATTTGTGTACCCTAAAACATATATATCGAATTCACTGTGGACGTGAAGCAGAGCATCGAGATTAAGACCAGAGTGTGGAGATTTTCCTCCCACGTTCCATGTCGCCACAAAGACTCTTTATTATGTTCACAAAACCCAAACATTAGAAATAAAAGCAGAGTATCTCTGTTTCGAATGATATAACAAATTATTACAGAACAAATCAAGAATCTATCAAGAAGAAACAAAATTAACACAGATGCAGTATATACATACCTCAAGGACTGTTGTTGCTGAGTGGGCATTGAAGATCTGAAATTGCTTGAAGCTAAGAGAGATTCAACTACTATCTCGGAACGAGACCCTGCAAAATATCAGAAACAGAGCCAAGAAATAGCTACAGAATATGAGACAGAGACGACAAGATTGTGAAGATAAATAGACATGGACACACACGGAGGGACATACTATTAAATATATAGAGTGGATCCGACATGTTTTGTTCTAAGAGTTAAAGCCAATTTCTCTATTAGATGGTTCTCGTGTTGGTATGAGGGAGAGACTTCAAGACCTTTCTTCTTCAAGGTCTGGTCTTCGAACACAAAAGAATTATCAAACTATAGCACAAGGAAGCATTCAAATGCAAAGGGAGCTTGCTTTTTAATTGTTTTTATTCTACTTTTGATATTATGCAATGCTTCGGTCTTCACTTGCTTATTCTTATATTTTTATATTCTTGAAAAGAAGAGATCTTTATCAGCGTATGAAGCAAAGATAAGAAAGAACTTAAAAATAATTTAAAGAATATATTCTGAAAAAGTCCGAAATCAAGAACAGTGTTCCCTTCATTTGATACTTATATGCCCCTGTTGTCTCTGTTTCTTTGCTTTTTTGTTTTTCATTATACAAATCTTCTTCTTCCCTCCTTTTCATCTTCTTTTGTTTTTTTCTATTATGTGGTGTATAGACCTGGATTACATTATCCTATTCCTATATGAATCTATGATGCGTCCCTTTGACCAAACTTTAATTACTTCAATTAGAAAGTAACGTTTTTGGTGCACTTGTATATTTGCGTGTGGTGTGTGTGTGTAGGACCTAGAACTCTCCGATAAATTCCACTTTAGTTTCGTATAATTTTGGTTTTACAATAAAAATGAATTTTCTAATTCAACGATTTTATGATAAAAATTAAACTACTTGAACGATTCGGTCATTTTTCTTTTGGATTTTGGTTATAATTTTCCGGATGGTTGAGAGATAAAAATGTGATTTAATTGAACATGACATTGCTGCATAGGTGTATATTCTGTATGAATAAAACCAAGTTGGAGTCTGTTATTTTAAGATGATGCTACTATCGTATCGAGCCTAGAAGATAGGTAAGATGCGTTTTGAAGATTAACAAAATGAATTGGAATTCTTGTCACTATTTTCATTTTCATAAATTTTATGTAGTCTGCAGCCAAATAAACCCATAAGGTAAAAAACACAAAGAGGAATCAAATCAAACAACTCTCTCTACTAGTCTAATCACAGAATCTGATGCTTTCTTCTTTTCCTTCTTTCCAAAACATAGGCAACAAAAGATATGTGGTTGAAGGAATGTTACAAGACAGAAGAGGTTTTGGTTTTATTCATATCCATGTGAAGAGTCCTCCTGATCAAGACTGGTTTCCACAACAGAGACTGGCTCTGGTGCACGTCCATGAACCCTGAACCGGTAAATGCAAGTGTGCGAGTTGCTTCCTTGGTTGGAGGTGAAATCCAGCCTGACAGTATCTACAAGACCAGAGTATGATGAGTCTAAGATGTTGAATGTCTGTGCATTTGACCTGTCTAGGTCGTACGTGAACTCTGTTAGAAGTTGTATCTTCTCTTCCTCGACTGAGGATTCCTGCCCTTGCAGCCATCCTGATACTCGGCAATCTTTTGGAGCGCTCGATCTGTCATAAGCTACACTCTGTTCATTTTTACAATGCACAAATCCATCAGGTCGGTGTATATATAATCCCAAAAATTAGACCCATCAATGATCACATTGAAATTTAAGCAGTGAAACTTATGTATTGAGCTTCTATGACTATCTTCCTTATTTTATTTCACTCTGTTATTGTCATTGAAATAATCACAAATTACAAATGGCGATATCCCAGTAACTGCAAATAGAATACACAAACCTTCAAGAGATGCATACTATTGAACTCATTGACAAACATTTGAAATCCTAAGATCGAGTGGCACTGTATAATGAATTTCAAGAAACGAATGCAAGAAAAAACAGGCAAAAAGTCTTAAAGAAACTCTTAAAGGTAAGTGGCAGTGTGGCACACACAAAATTGGAGAAGTATGATGATACCTCCTAGTTGAAGAAGAAACTTATTAAGTAACCATAGTCTAACTAAGTGGATCTTTTGCAGCTACTGGCATAAACTAAACCTCTAGGGCAAACCAAACAATTTTGTACGTTGCCACTAACCATCACAAAGATAATTCAGTCAAATTTAACCAGGTATCTCAACATGAAACCATTCTACTCACACTCTTGTATGTGAGCTCAAAATTCTCTTTGAACATGCAAATACCAAAGGTCATAAGAGCATATAAGAAGAAAATTGATACTAAGACATAGACATTTTGCAGTGCAAGTATCATTACCTTAGCTACATGCTCCAATGTGAAAGCCTCAGGTACGATTGGTCCTCTCAGCCTGATTTGCACATAGCCATTGCTACCTTTCAGAGCAAAACACTGACCAGGCTCCCCAAAACTGGGAGATAGCATCTTAACAGCATTGGTATGAGCACGTCGAATGCTTGTCGCAAACCAACTACTCCCTTTTCCAATAAGATACGGATCTGAATGCTGCATCACAAAAGCACCACCAGACGCCAACGCATAGTCAACTCGGCCAAGGCCATCTGCAGCATGTTTCTCAATCTCTTTCTCCATGATATCACGAGCATACGCCCTCAATTCATCAATGCTAACCTCACTAAAAGCAGAATCATCGACATTACCCTTCTTCAGTTCCTCATAAATCCTTTCTAACTCATCTTTAGATACCCAAGGTTTAGCATTTACTTCATCTACTGACTTCTCTAGTGACTCGGTTCTAGATTCTATCTTCTTCAACTCACTCTGAAATGCAGAAGCTTTCCTCTCGATTTCTTGCTTCAGTGCTTTAGCTTCCCTCTCCATCTTCTTATCAAGTAATTCAACTTGAACCTGCATCGTACTCGTTGTGGCCTTAACAAGACCATCTACTTCCGCAATTCGACTCTCCAATCCAGAAAAAGCCATTTCCGTCCCAAAAGAAGAAATCGGAGAGGATGGAGAGGAAGCCATGAGAATCATCTTCCTCGTCAATTGAATCAACCCAACAATAAACAAAAGTGCCCCAAGCTGCTTCGCAAATATCCTCACAACTCTCTTCCATCCCGCTTTCTCGGGCTTAGGAGTAGCAACCTTCCGCGTCCGGCGCTGCGTGGCGGTGGTATTAGTCGCCGTCGCGGCGGAACCAGACCTCCTCGTCACGGGACCCAAATCTTGTCCCTGAGATCGATCAAGGATAGCATCACCGCGGCTCAGATCTCTGCTCGTACCACCGGCTTCGCCAACACCGCCGTTCACAAGCGATTCGCTTTGAGGGTAATCAAAGTTAGATTTCTTCTCTCCGGCAAGAATAGGCGTCCGTCTAGTGGCCGCCGCCGTATTAGCGGTGATCGACACCGTCGATGCCGACATTTGATCTGGTTTGACTACACAATCTCGCAACCCAAATCTTTTGGCAAAAAATCGAAATCGAAACCCTGATTTCACTACAGAGAGTTGGAAAAATTCGAAAACTTTGTTCGAAATCGAGAAAGAGTAACAACAACAACAATTTCAAAAACTCTGAACCGTCTTCTCCGGTTGCCCAAGTCTTCTACTTTTTAACGTCGTTTCTTGTTTCCTCTAATTAATATTTTCCCTTTTTCCAAATTTACTTTTATTTTCAAAAATTGCATCATGTCAAAAATAACTGCAGCGGTTACTTTACTTTACCCATTAATTAAGGAATTATTTACTTTTAATCACGATTAATTAAGGAGGTTGCAGAAGATAATTAAGATAAGTTTACTTCCCGAGAGTTATAATCTGTGAACCACATTCTCAAGTCATCATAACAAGTTTTCAACTACAGAACAATCTCTCAGATAAATAAACAAACAAAAACAAAACTCGTGTCAACTCAAGACCTTCGACTTGCTAAACCGGAGTCTCGCATCTCCCACGCCGGTTTGCTCTCTCTAGTAACATCGTACTTGATTGCTCGAACCAATGGCTTCATCACCAACAAGTACTGCAATTCATGATACAAAAAGGATGTTATTATAGTCAAGTCCCTTAGAAGTTGCTATTCTGTATTGTTACTTAATCGTTCAGAGGCGCTTACCTGGAAAGCAAAGATTAAAGGAATTAAACGTTTTCCTCTTTCGTTTGGGTTTGGCCCTTCCACGAGTTTCTTATCAACGTGAATCGCCTTGTTGCCATTGAAAGAGATCTCTGTGATTGTGTTGACCAGATTGGGAATCCAACTAGTCCCGTCCGGAAGAATCTGTCACAGGTTTGGAAAATCCTTAATCAACATTGGTCCAACTACACGATGAAAATAATAGATAACATGGAAGAAGCCAATCAACTGACCTTTTCATCGCTTTCATTCTTATGGCATCTTCCACTGTTCTCAACAAGAATGACAGGAATAGATGAACTCTACAATAAAACAGTCAGATGTTAATAAATCTACTACTAACCTGACTACTATTATAAGGTCGTACAGAGACTTATCTGAAGATGTAACGTACAGAAAGGAGGAACTCGCAATACCTGCATATCCTGTTTCTTCAGTTGAGCGCCTGTACGGATAACTTTAAGAATAGCATCGGATCTTCTGGAGACAAAGAGGTCATAATTTAACCCGTCCGGTGGAGAGAACTGAGCATGTGTGAGAACAAGTGCAGACTTCTTCCATATCTCTTTACCAAATGCATCTGTTATAGCACTGACAACTTGCCTATCTAAGTCATCCACCCGGTATACATCCAAACGATCTACGTATAATAGCACATCTATAGTCATGTTGAGGAGAAATCTGTTCAAATTCAACACCCACGAATCCAAATTAATATACATGTCACAAATGTGCTGTAAATTAGGAGAATAACTTCTTAGACCTGGAGACAGTTCAACTTACCGTTTGATAATGTTGATGGCTTGATCATTCACATATCCTCCCTCGATAAGACCAGGAGTATCGATAATGTTTAATGTAAATCCCGACCTTGAGCGAGAGACCAAGGTTGGCCTCAGTCCTTCAGACTATAAAGAGGGAAGCCAAACACTTTATATGAGAAAATATACAAGAAAGTTAGGAAATAGAAAATCCATGGGAAGAGCATTAAACTTTGTACCTGGAAAGTACTAACTGCAGCAGCTTTCTCGCCTATTATTGAATTCACAGTTGATGACTTTCCAACACCGCCTTTCCCCATTACAAGGACAGTTAACGAGCTCACATCCTACGCAAGTTTTTTTTTTCCTATCACATTAGAAACTAAAACAAGAGAGACATGAAACAAGAAACAAAAAGAAAGCAGATGAAGCTGGAAACAAGAAAGGCACCTCTTCTTTATACTTCCCAAGGATCTCGAGCAATCTAGATTGAGTAGCAGGTGGGAACTGCTGGATACCGATCCATTCACGAGACATTTGGAAAGCTGCCATGGACACAAATCCTTGTCCTACACTTTGAGGAAAGCCAAAAAGGACTATCAAAGAGAAGACTAAATTATCTGCTAAAAATCTAAATAATTAAAAGACCAAAGAACAAATTCTGATTACTAAAGAAGAAAAATGTGTAATCGCCAATAGAAGCAAAAGTCGTCTAATTCCTCTATCTGAATAAATCCTATGACTTTCGATCATATTAAGTAAAAGCCTCTTAAAAAAACAAAAAGAAGATAACTTTTCTACTAACAGCAAAAACCCTTCAAACTTAATGTTGATTAGCTGTTGTCTCCATCAGTTTCTTTTTCCAGATCCTTCATATGAAAATAACCTCATTGCTTTAGAAACGAACATGGCCTTAAGTGGGCATACCAAGAACTAATAACTTAAGCACTAAACTAACCAAGTATCGAGTGATAATCAGAATCCTATGTCCTGAACTGGGTCAAAAGCCAAAAGATTAAATGAGCATACTTGAGATCAAAATGTGGATACTTCTAAGTGAACAAAGTGAAAAAACCGGATAAAGAAAGAAACCGAGTGAGAAAGAGAGAGAGAGAGTAACCTACCTGAGCTTGAGTTGTCAGTGGCGGATATTCGTCGCCGGATTCGCTGACCTCGTATCAAATTAAAACCCTAGAACTGAAATTGACTTTTTGAAGATGATTGATTGCCTACTTCAAATCTCAGTACAGAGTTAAAGTGTACATTCATTACATCCCTTTCACGTTTCAACCGGACTAAACCGAATATGCCGTCTTGCTTCAGCTATTACTAATTTGCCCTTTTGTATTTAATGATACGGTGGGCTGAAAAGCCCAATAACAAACTGAAAAGGCCTAATAAACTTGTCCTCGTTTTGTGGATCGTCTTCTCTAACACACACAGACACACTAGATTAATTATATCTCAGACTCATTTCATCTTTTCTTACTAGGCGAGCTTCTGAAGAAGAAACCGGTGATTCATCGCCTTAGATCACTCCCAGGTATCGTCTTGTTCCCTCTTGCTCCTCGCCTTCATTTCTGGTCATGATCTTTTGTTTCCCTTTCTATGAATGTTCCTTCTAGCTGCATTTTTGTGGATCTTCGTTTTAGGAAATTTTCTCCTTGTTCTAAATTTCGCGATCCTGTTTCCTGAATTTGATCCGTTTGAGTTGATTTCGATTCTGCAGTTGTGTTTTTCCGATTATGTGCCTCTGATGCTCTTAGATCCGTTGGATCTGTGGGATTTCATCTGAATTCTTTTTTTATACATCTTTGATTCGCTAGTCAGTCGAGTTTCGTTTGGATTCCTGTATTTCGTTGGCCCCCTATATGCGAGATCTCTTCTCCTTTTACGCTATTTTTGATCTTGAAGGATCACATCTCGTTTGTTTCTTCTGATCTTGCTCTAACTGGATTTTTGTCTTTGTAAATCAGATTCACATTGCCTTTCTTCTAGCCGCTGAGATTGTTACCTGGAAAGCAAATCAAAATGGTATTGAGTTCTATTCTATGACCTTGTTTATTTCTGTTTTTAACGCAGCTTCAGAATTTGGTGTTAAATGTAGTGTTTGTTATTTTTTTTTCTGTCCGAGTATTGGCACCTTGCTAAAGTTGTAACCTGTGGTTTATAGGTAGTGCTTGCTGCTTCCATTGTGGTCAAGTCTGGAAAAGGTACATTCTTTTGTATATCCTTTACTTTGTCTTCGAATTCTCGTTTTTTTTTCCAACTTTTTTTGCGTATTCTCTAACTCTGTTCTTTTATATAGTGCTTATTTCCAGACAATATGTGGATATGTCCCGTATCAGAATTGAAGGTCTACTTGCAGCTTTTCCTAAGTTGGTTGGAATGGGAAAGCAGCATACCTATATTGAGACAGAGAATGTGCGATATGTATATCAGCCTATTGAATCTCTGTTCCTGCTTCTTGTTACAACTAAACAGAGTAACATTCTAGAAGATCTGGCCACCCTCACTTTGCTCTCCAAACTTGTATGCTTCTTTTTTCTTTAACTTTTACTTATGCTTGCTACTTTATTTGAGGAGTTTATTTCCTTAGTCTGGATGTGTACTAGCTCTTAGTTATTTTAAAAAGTGAGTGTGTCTACTGTTGTTAGCACCTTATCTTCGTCGAAGTCTGGCATTTCTTAAGAGGGGATAGTTGAATTTCTTTTCCAAAAGGTTATCCTACAGACAAAGCCTTGACATGAAGTTTGAACATTTGACTGTTTCTAGGTACCTGAGTATTCCATGTCATTAGATGAAGAAGGGATTGTCAGGGCTGCTTTTGAGCTGATATTTGCATTTGATGAAGTCATATCTCTTGGGCACAAGGAAAGTGTGACAGTTGCCCAGGTGAAGCAGTACTGTGAAATGGAAAGTCATGAAGAGAAGTTGCATAAACTGGTAATGCAGAGCAAGATCAATGACACTAAAGATGTGATGAAGCGTAAGGCTAATGAGATTGACAAAAGCAAGGTACATGACTGGAGCGCACCCTGCTGTTTTATGCTATCTTCCTGTATCCCCTATTAATGTTTCTTATATGTTGCCCAGATTGAAAAGAATAAGCCTGGATTTTCATCCATGAGCTCAATGGGATCTGGAAGACTTGAAAGTAGTTTCAATGATTTGAGCATATCCAGTGGTGGTGGCGGTGGTTTTGGAAGTGGTTCTGGGTTTGGCATGATTTCAGATGTTGAGCCTATCAATACCAAACCGAAAGGTTAGTGTGCTTAAACTATGGATCTTTCACAGATGACCGTTCAGTCCCAAGTATTTAAGTCAAAATGCACTCCCATCTATGGTTTCTTAGCGCCTCTATCTGGATACTTGATTTCGATTACAAAATTTCTTTGCTTCAAAACTCTTATCCATTGTGCTTAACTTTGCAGATCGATCACGGTCTTCTGTTACTGCTCCTCCTAAGAGTTCTGGCATGAAACTTGGCAAGTCTGGCAAGAACCAGTTAATGGAGTCCCTTAAAGCAGAAGGTGAAGACATCATTGAAGATGTTAAGCCTACTGGCCAATCCAGAGCAGCTGCCCCACCTCCAACTGATCCGTTCACTTTGACTGTTGAAGAGAAGCTCAATGTTGCATTGAGACGAGATGGTGGAGTCAGTAGCTTTGATATGCAGGGAACCTTGTCACTTCAAATTCTTAACCAAGAAGATGGATTTGTCCAAGTCCAGGTACTCCACTGTTCTTTCTTAACTAATTCCAAGAGATTACAGTTTTCTTTAATACATCATTACTTTCTATATTTTTCTTTGTATGAACTTGTCTACGTTTTACTTTGTCTACAGATTGAAACTGGTGGAAATCCTGAAATTCTATTCAAGACTCATCCCAACATCAACCGAGATATGTTTAATAATGAGAATATTCTAGGGCTGAAGAGACCTGACCAGCCATTTCCCACTGGTCAAGGTGGAGATGGTGTTGGTCTTCTCAGGTGGAGAATGCAAAGAGCAGAAGAGTCAATGGTGCCACTAACGAGTAAGGCTTTGGAGTTTATGGTGTTTGTTTTTGACAGGTTTACATGTATATATTTGTCCCATTCATGTAAATCTTTTGTCTGGTGCAGTCAACTGCTGGCCTTCAGTCTCTGGAAATGAGACATATGTCAGCCTCGAATATGAAGCCTCAGCCATGTTTGATCTGACTAATGTCATCATCTCCGTACCACTTCCTGCTCTAAGAGATGCACCAAGCGTTAGACAATGCGATGGGGACTGGAGGTTGGAAATATAATTTGACCTTTTCACTGTAGTTATCTCTTTATTTGTTTCTGAGACGAAACTCATAATTGTCATTTTTATCCGCTCTTAGGACTAACCATATCTTTGTATATGTATCAGGTACGACCCAAGAAATTCTGTTCTGGAATGGTCTATACTTCTTATCGACAACTCCAACCGCAGGTAAATAATGATGATGTCAAATCATCTGCTTAAAATATACTTTGGAGTTTTGTTTGTCATGTGATTACATGAAAATCTTGTTGCAGTGGGTCAATGGAGTTTGTCGTGCCACCAGCGGATTCATCGTCGTTCTTCCCCATCTCTGTTCAGTTTGCAGCCACAAGTACTTACAGTGGCTTGAAGGTATGAATCTTGGTCCTCTGAAAAAGTCCAAGTTTCCATAGTTTGGTTTATCCAAGAATTGAGGCTTTGTGTTGGGATTACAAATGAGATGGCTTGTTGGTAATTGTGCAGGTGACTGGAATGATTCCTCTGAGAGGTGGTGGTGGTGCGACTCCAAGGTTTGTGCAGAGGACGCAGCTGATTGCTCAGAATTACCAAGTCGTATGAGAAGCTCTTTTGAGTTTCTCGTTTTGGAGCCTCTGCTATGTTTAATTGCTTCTATACTATCGGTCTGGTCTTTTGAGTTTCTCTCATATTTGTATGCCAAAAGTTGAATCTTAATATTCTGGGATTTTGCTAGTTTCGTTATCAACTTACTACTAAGACATTATACATATTCATAACTTTTGTTTTTGCCAACTTCTTTCTCAATGTTATTGATATATGCTACCCATACAATCTCGTTTCTTTTTTGTTTTTTTTTTTACTTCTTTTACAAGTTGACCAAAGAATAAGAATTCATAGCCATTTCATTGCAGATCATAAAACAGGTTTATAGTTTCTTTTTTCTTAAGTAAAAAGATTGCATCGATACTTTTCACATAAATCAGTTCTTATTGTTCAAACTTGAAACCCAAGAATCAGGATTATATAATTATAAAAGAGTTGTTTAATTTAAGATTCATGATTCAATAAAAATTCCGATATAGATGAGACTTGAGTGGGTTGCCTTAACTAAAGAGGCAAGAGCATCACTTTAGCAAAATATCAGATCCCACAAGAATTTCCTCCAGGTCCAGCGACTTCGAACAAAATTGATTTATTTCCATCTTTTAGACCATAACATTTATTGTTGTCTAAAAGTTTGTCGATTAAATATGGGATTTAATTAGCAAACATGTCTCTAAATTAAAGAAGAGGGTGGTTCAGGCGGGCCTGCAAGAGCATACTTGAGTATCACAGGGCAAGTAGCGAACCACTGCCTGGTACCGGTTAGTCTGGTTATGAACATCCGAAAGATCATATGCTTCGAAGGTGATGTAGAGCATGATTGCAGCAGACGGGTGAAAGTTTGCTCTCAAAACCCTAACAAGTTCCAGCCTTGTATCCTACCATAATATTAAGTAATATTTCCTAATGAATCGCAGCAAATTAACAAACAAAGAGTAAACATAAGATTAATACTAACCGTGTTTTGGTGGTAGTGAGAGATGGCCATATTCGACAACCTGTTGAGCAAATCTCTGTTGGTATAGTCATGAGGCTCGCTATTGCTAACTATGTCACTCTCGTCGAGATCCACAGACCCGCAACCGAATGTGTGACGCAGTTTCGACAAGTCCACATCAAAACCCTTAATATATACATAATACATGTAAGTCTAACCAACTACGTACTATAGAAAAAAAAAAAAAAAAATCAAAAGGAATATGAATCAACAATGGTTAATTGGAGAGAATGATTAGAAACCCCGCTCTTGTCCCACTCTTCATCTAAGAGTCGGAAATCATCTGACAGAGTTTCCCAATCATCCGAATCATACGACGAGTCAAGGGGGAGGTTCATCGTTCGACGATGTCTCCTCTATCTTCCGACGCTTAGGGGAGGAAGGACTTTCGGATCTCTCTGTCTCTATCGCTGAATCCATAGCTAAAACCTTACGGAGATGATTATACGAACCCTACTTTTATGAACAAGGCCCTTTTTTCTTAATTTTTATGATTGAATTTTATAAATATATCGGTTTTGTTTTTCCTTTCTTCTTTTTTTAATCGGCCCATGCTTATCTTATCGAATTAATTTCCTTTTTTTTCATTGTCTAAAAAATGATAAAATACAGTTTTTAATGCATTCTTATATTTTGAAATAAATTAAAACTGTGAAGAAAAAGAAGTAAAAGTGTAAAACTGGTTTTAAAAGGAAGCGTGCGTCTATATAAAAAAAAGAAGTGCTCAATTAATATCTAACTTTTTTTTATAGTATGAATCATGCAACATAAAATTTTACTATCGTCTCTTACCGTTACGGTATATGATTTTTCGGTGCTTCATCGCGTAATAACAATATTGTTGTTCTACACGACGACACGTCACACGTCCATTATATAACAAAAAAGAATTTTAAGGGTATTATATATTGGTGCATGAGTGATTAGTCTAGCCCCCATAAGTAATTAAATAGTGTGTGTTATGTATTTTCTTCTTATAAACAAAATGGGGAAATTGCTTTTACTTTCACAACTCTTTAAATCTTTTTATTACTTCTCCATCAAAACATGGGAAATAGAACAATGAAATTGGAAAACAAGCTCTTACTGACATGGATTAGTAGTTTCGTTTTGAAACTGTAGTACGTGATGGTGTCTATAAAAATCGAACTAATTGTGTGCGGAGGATAATATATGAATTACAATCACGATAAACATTCTCAAAAGCTTTAAATTCACTAAAATGGCCGATTCCGCTCATGAAGACCTACCATCCCAAGACCGAGCTTACATCATCCTCATATTAATACTTTTGGCGGTAGTTCTCATTACCGTGGCGGCTCTGGGAGTATTTGCTTTTGTCCGTCGTCGAGGTCGAGCGAGTGCCAAAGTCCACCCTTTAGAAGACATAGAATTGGGTGAGCTTTAATGGGATGATATATATATTATGGTAAACAATATTAGATCATTTGCTCGTCTCTTCTATGTAACGATCGATCATCAACAACGTACGTACGAATGTCGTCTATTTTCATATTATGTATTATGTCGTTTTGTTAAATGTATTTCATGGATTTCAGATATATAAGTGAATGCGTATTGAGTATTGTTAAATTTCTTATGGCAGCCATTCAGATTTATCTGTATTCTTTCTTTTTTTTTCTTTTTTTTTACAAATACTTTATTCATCTTGCATCTTACACCTTTTACAAGGGACATCATTTCAAAATTACCATTCAAGCAAACAGATTAATAAACTAAAAAAAGATACAAACGGAGGATTTAACAAACTCAGGTGAAACAATCAAACCAAAGCATGTAGGTAAATTCTCAAATACAAATCCAATCACTATTTATTTTAAGGAAAAACGCTATGTAAATACTTTAAAAACTTTTACAAAGTGCCAACAAACGCTATTAAATTTTAAAGGGTAAAAAAGTAGCGTACAATTTATTTTTATAAAGTGTCAAATTAGACGTCTAATAATTTGTTCATTGTACATTTAAAAACAATTCCCAAATTAAAATCCAAGGATAGTTTAATTTCGAAAACATTAGCGAGCTGGGGTATGATCAAATCTTGTGACTCCTTTAAGTCAGCTTGCATAAGCTCAGTTCGAAGTTTGAAGTAGAAGAATTTAGGGTTATTTTTGTTGACAGATACAAATTGACGTACGGTTATTATAGTCAAATTTATAGAAGACACTCTTTTTGAAATAGTTTAGTTTGTAAAAATTGTAAAATGACAAAATTTAAGCCATCTTTTGACATTTCCTCTAAGACTTGAGGGGTATTTTTATTTAAATGGCATATTTTATTCGAAAGACGAATTGAACATCATCATATATATCACATAAATATTAGATTCCACAAGCATCCCCTCCCGGTCCACCAAATAAGAACATACTAGTAATTTTATCCTTTCTAAGACCATAACATTTCTTACTGTCTACAAGCATCTCCAGCTTAAATTTTTTATGTCGCCTGAATTTACGACTAGCATCCATGATGTGCAGGTCAGGAATACGTGCCGAGTAAAACGCGTATAATGCTGGTAGATGACCATTACCCATTGGTGGACTTTTGCCTGTAGGAGAAGCTTGAACTACTCCTCCAACTCCAACTATGTCTGCAGCATTTGCTATTAAATCAAACATCTCTTTTGGCCAGTAACCAATATATGTATCTGGTTTGTGCTTGTTTATATCCGATGCCCACCAATTTCCCGATATTTTATCCTTCATTGATTATTTTAAGAAATCGAATGGAATCGCATGTTATAGCTTTTGTTTGATATAATTCAAAAAGTAAAACAAATAACGGTTGATGTATTGTTAGCAAAAACAACAATTAATTATATTGTTTCTAACTCACTCACGTTGTTTCCGAATTTGAGAAAAAACAACATTATTTTACTAAATCAAATAAAAATCATATAGTAGTAATAGATTACCTGTTGAAGACCGACATTGATATATCTATTATTGGGATCATGAGTTTCACGTAAAGGTCCACTTAAATGTACAGTTTCTGATACTTGAATAAAACCAGGACATATGGTATTATAACAACCTGCTCCTTCGGCACCCTATAGAAAAATAATAAAAATTTAAAATGTAGGTTAAGAAAAAACAATATAATTTGCTATCAAATCAATAGTTAACCAAGTGTATATTTTTAAATCTTTCTCACATTACTTTTAAAACGTAGTAAAAATAAATGGATTTCAAATATATTTTTTGTAAAAAAATAATTGTATAAGATAATGTGATAATGAGTATATGCATTGATATATATATGTACCTTCCAATACCCATAACCCCATGTCCGCCCATCGCCAAACATACTTGGATTTACCTGTTAGAAAAATTAAATAGCTTTATTCATAGATCTCATATCGTGTAATGGTCTAACTAATGGAAGAAAAAAAATTGATATTTAATTTAATTTACCATCCACCCAGTTTCAATTAAATTGAATGTGTTGTTGTTGGCTGTACTTCCTACAAATATGTTAGCAGATGAATACTGGTCACTACTGATGTTCAAGTCATGAATACTTATCGGAGCGGCAACACCATGATAAGGACCTTGACCTCGTGATCTAACAACTGCAATCTTCACATTATAAATATTTTTAAAGATGCGTTATATATATATTGTAAGACAAGTAGTTATAAGTAGAAAAATTGAGGAATATATATATATATATATATATAGTTGATTTCTTACATGTTCTCCAGGTCTTACAACTGTGAGCGGATTTAAACGCTTTGCTGCGAAATATTGAGCATTTCGAACATACTCTTTTGTATTCTTCAATATTGGAACTGTTCCGTTTGGACAATCAATGACATTTTGATCATACCTTCTGCTTTTAACTTTGTTTTCCGGTTCAGAAATTGCGAAAGAAGGTTTCATCTATTGAAAACATATTGTCACAAGATAAATACATGACATGAGCGATTACATTGTATCATGCCTTTTATTGTTTTTGGACTAATTAAAATGTTGTTTCTTTTAATTCCCCAACATGCGTGTCTGAGAAAAAGTTAGACGTACAAATTTAAATACCTGAATTTTGTGATTCTTGAGTAGTGGATGATTTAACGAAGGCTGTTTGTAGATTTCCACACAATGGTATATCATTTTCTCATTTAACTATGAACAAAATAAGGGATTAATGAATTACAAATATATAGGTATAACAACTAGTGCAGATATGTATATAGTATCCCCATTTTACCAAAAAATAATGGTTTTAATAAATATGTGTGTCAATTTTGCTTTCTCCCCCCGTTTACCTTGATAGATTTCAAAACTTCTCTGGATTGAAGTAATGAGAATGAGACTAGAAGTGTGACGAGTCTAAGAACGAAATCCATGGATTTATGATCAATATTTTGAAAGATCGTATGATAGTATTATTTGTAATATCTATTTTTAGATCTTACACTCAAGCATTTATATTAACTAAGGATGTTTAAAGTTGGTTTGAGTTTTCTTAAATTTATGTTTCTCGATTATAAATAATTTACATAAAAGATGATTTTTTTTGTTTTTTTTTTTTTTGTTTTTTTTGTCATCGATTTTTTTGTTGTTTTCCTATATGGGAACACATAACTTTTAAAATTTCAAAACTAGTGGCCAACTAGTAATTTGACAATTGATATAATGTACACTTTAATTTTCTTAAATATGCTTTAATTGTTTGGTTCACCTGTTTTATACTTTTAGTACTAGCAGATTTTGTATCTCTTTTCTTACTATACACTTTAATTTACTTTATTGTGATCAGATTTCATATCCTTAAATCAAAATATAAATAAATAAAAAGAAGATTGTTTCTTCTTAATGGTCCACTTCTGTGCTATTTTTGCTGCTTTAATTCCTAAGATATATACACGTTTCAGTTTACTTGATTATGTTTTAATTTTCATAAACATACAATAAATATATTTTTTTTGTTTTGTAGTGGAGACGACTCGAGCTACAATGGGACATGGAGATTATTTTGTTGTTGCCGTGGAATCGGATAAAAAGTGGATGCGCTCCTTTGATCCTATATACATGTCATTATTTTGATTTTTGTGTACATGCGTAATCCCAATGCTAAATAGTTTCTGAACAGTACTACTTTACAGAGTTGGTGTAATCAAATCTAAATTTGTATACCTTGCAACTGAGTTAATATGGCATTCGTTTAACACAGTTCGAAATATATATCCAAAATACAAAAGTACTACTGTAAATTATTCATATCATCTATCCAAATTATACAAAACTTGGCTAATGACATACAGAGTGAAACATCAACACCAAGACTAAAACAAAGAAACTAGTTCGACACAAGACATAACGATACGAAGAGGTTGGAGGACAAAGCAAACACTTTTCTGGCCTTGAGCTTGATAGATAGATAGATGTGGTGGAGAAACTGCATGCATATACCACAAAACCTCTCAAGAAGAATTCAAGAAGAGGGTTTAGGCTTGCAAGAATGTACTTCAATATCTCCGGCCAAGTAGCGAACCACTGCTCGATAGGGCTTTGTCGTCTGATTATCATCAGACGGATCATTGACTTCGAATGAGATGTATAAAGTAATTCCAGCAGATGGATGGAAGTTTGCCCTCAAAATCTTTCCCAGTTCCAGTCTTGTTCCCTACGTATCACCAAACCAAATCAGATTTCGAACCAGACTCATATAGATTCATGTAACAAAGACAAATATGTCATAACAATCACATTGTCTGAGTTGTGCTTGATGAGAGCTAGCTCGGACAACATGGCGATAAAATCTCTGTTGGTTTGAGGCTCATCAACCATTGTACTGTCGTCAAGATCCAATGGTTGCCATGCGAAACAGAAGCTAAGTTTCGAGAAGTCGATTTCAAAACCCTGCAAATACCGGGATAGTCAATATTTTTTGCACCGCGTACGTAAAAACACCAAAAGAAAATAAATATGGAGAAGAGATCTCAGAACCTGGCTTTTATCCCACTCATCATAGAACAGTTTGATTTCTTCCGGTGTGCCGTCTTCGGAATTATCAGAATCGCTGTCGTCATCGAAGGCTCTCTCCTCCACTTCCTGCCGCTTTGGAGAAGTCATTGCTGCAACCCTAATTTGCTAGCCCATGTGGCCCTCTTTTATTATCACGTGATATTATTTTACCAATCAATTTTTGAGAAGTTTTTAATTTAATTATTATTAGTATAAAATATAAATTCGAAAAATCATTAAGAAATTAATTTTTTTGATAAGTTAATTCATCTCATCCCTGATATTAAAACTGAACGATTACTTATATATAAGTTGTAGCAGATTATCCATATACATAATTTGGCTGAAACACCAACAAAAATAGCCATAATGATATATACGAAGAAAAAGTTGGAGGAACATGTCTATGCCCCTAAAGCATGCGATTATGCGTACATTAAGATAGATGTCATAAACCTCTCAAGAAGAGGGTGGTTTAGGCTCACAAGAACGTACATCAATATCTCCAGTCCCGTAGCGAACCACTGCTCGATAGGGCTTTGTCTGATGGTTAGCATCAGACGGATCACTGACTTGGAAAGAGATGTAGTAAGTAACTCCAGCAGATGGATGAAAATTTGCACTCAAAATCTTGTCCACTTCCAAACTTGTTCCCTGAACCACCAAATTAACTATAATATAATATACCCAGCCCTTCTCCAACTCTTCATCGAAGAGATGAAATTGCTCTTCCTCGGAATCATAGATGTCGTCATCGCAGGTTGTCTTCGGTAGATCGCATCTTTCCGTATCGATCGGCGGCGATGGCATCACTCGAATATGTAGAAAGAAGGAACCCTAACTTTTAACCTTCATAGTAAAAACCTCTTTTCATAAATTTTAATAAAATTTCTGATTTTAACCTCTTTCATAAATTAAGAACTTCTGTAGAATAAATTATTTTCCAACTTATGAAACAATAATTAAACATGTGCATGGCAAAGACTATGATGTACATGTTAAAACTATATATCTATCTGGAATTACATTTTACATTTTACTATTATAAATATCTTTGTTTTTAATTAAACAGCAATCGGGAAACATAATAGTATTAACAAAAACATTTGATCTACTCATATTTTTCGATACAATGATTTTAAGTAAAGCTAACTAAGAAGAAGAATCTTAGATGGTGTTCACGTACGTTTGAGCTATTTTATCCTTCCGGCACTTCTTCTTCTTCTTTATCTATTATTGATTATAGATCCTAAATGTATGGGTTTTTAGGGAAGGGGAAAACACAAAATGCAGAGGGAGAGAATGAGCAAGAAGAAGACTAGTCAGGTTCATTGTATTCCCTCTGGTGATCATATTCCCATGACGGCTTCAACTTCTAAACACATTTCTCATATCAGATTGTACAAAGCCTGGAAGGGTAACAACGTAATATTATGTTCTTGTGCCTTTTTTCTTCTTCTCTGAAACAATTCTATCTTCTTGATTGTTCTTGATGTTTTCATTGTTTTTCAACCAGAATTTGGATATGATGTTTGATTTTTTTTCTTTTTGTATCATCAGAGATTTTTCTGTGGTGGTAGACTAATCTTTGGTCCTGATGTATCATCTCTGTTCCTAACCTCGTTCTTGATCGGAGCTCCTGCGCTTACGTTCTGCATAAGGATGCTCGTGTGGATCAGAAAAGGCGACCCTTTCTTCAACTACACCGTTCTGACTTCAGGATTTATCCTCACCCTCTTGGTATGTTTGTCTCCTTTAAGTCCCTCTTTCTCTCTTTAGGGAGCTTCCCTTAAAAGCTGATATCTTGGCATCCGGGTCTGCAGGATTTTATGTTTCTAGTGTTGACATCAGCTAGGGATCCAGGAATCATCCCAAGGAATAAAACATCAATGATGGATCTTGAGGATGATTCAGATTGTTCCTTGACACAATCTATGGAATGGGTCAACAACAACACTCCTAATCTCAAGATTCCAAGAACCAAGGACGTCTTCGTCAACGGTTACACCATCAAAGTCAAGTTCTGCGATACTTGCTTGCTCTATCGTCCTCCTCGAGCATCACATTGCTCCATCTGCAACAACTGCGTCCAACGCTTTGATCACCATTGTCCATGGGTTGGACAGTGCATTGCCCGGGTCAGTTCTTTAACGGATACTACATAGATTTTGCACACTTCTTCTTGATCATATACATCCAATCTTTGTTCAGAGAGTGATTGATTCTTGGTTTGAAACTTTTGCAGAGAAACTACCCCTTCTTTATCTGCTTCATCTCATCTTCAACATTATTATGCATATATGTCTTTGTCTTCTCCTGGATCAATCTGATTCGACAGCCTGGGAAACTATGGAGGACAATGTCTTATGATATAGTGTCTGTCATTCTTATCGTCTATTCTTTCGTAGCTGTTTGGTTCGTTGGTGGTCTTACCATTTTCCACTTCTATCTCATGTCTACAAACCAGGTATATATCCTTACCTTTATCATAGGACCACACCTAAATCTTATTTAGCTTGCCTGCACTGAGACCTTTCTCAAGTTGTGTCTATTCTGCAGACAACATATGAGAATTTCCGGTACCGTTATGATAAGAAAGAAAATCCTTACAAGAGAGGGTTACTGAAGAATGTTAAAGAAGTATTATTTGCCAAGATCCCGCCTTCACAACTAGATCTCAGAGCAATGGTCCCGGAAGAAGATGACATGACAATAGCCTCTAACGGATCCGAGTATGAGTCAGAGTATAGCTCCTCCGTTAGGTACGATACAGAAATGGGAGGCAAGCTCACTAATAGGGAGAGCCCGAAGAAGCTTCCTCTGCCAACACAAAACTTAGATATCATGGACATTAGTGATGACTACGACAGATCTAAGATGACTAGAGACGATGCTTCTGAGGGTGATCCTTCTTTCTTCTCATCTCAACTAGACTTGCCCAACTAATTGTAACGAAGAATCTCTCAAAGTTGTATCATCTTTGTCTATATTCTCTCGAAACATTCTAATGAAATCTGTATAGCAAGAACTACAGACAACTGGTTCCAGAGGTCGATGTGTCTTTGGTCTTGTCCAAGATTACTCAGCAAAACCATATGTAGATTAGAAAACCAAATTGTTCAACATTCGGCTTCATTGGTAAACATTATTATTTCCCAGAATGAGAAATCCTCAGACAACAGATCTCTTACAAGTAAAAAAGAAACAACAGTTTAGGTTCGAGAAGCATAAGACACTGAGTTGACAGCATCATCATAGTCTCTTCAAGCTTTTCTTTCTGGCATCTACCTTCTTCTTATCTGCCTGAACCTTGGCTAAACCTGCTTCCCTTTTTTGCGTGGTAGTGACCACACTTGCAGATCCTGCTGTGGCTGCTACAACGACAGTAGCCGCATGTAGTTGGTCTTGGGCACTAGTTGTTGTTACTCTTTTTATGTCTGTCATTGAAGAGGGTATTGCAGTAGCAGCACCAGGCGTTTCGTTGTTAGTCTGGCCAACATTTAGAGCTGTCGTTGACTCTGAGATAGCACCTGTCTTGAACTTTGGTTTTGGTTTAGCATGGATACCTGTGTAAAGCCTGCATATAGCATATAAGCCTTTCATTGTTTGGCAAAAAAGACAGAAGGTTCGACAACATTTGAGACCAAAGAAGATGGCTCACCTAGCATGCCTCGCATATTCGTCATAGTTTTCAAGTAGCATCTTGCCAGCCTGTTCATTCAATGCAGATTCTGGAAATGGCTCAATTAATAAGCACCTCACAACCTGTTGACATGTACAAAACACAGACCCTCATTCTCAAGTTTAAAGAAACCAGTCAAAGTAATGAATACATAAGGGGTCAAGCATCTTACAGAGAGAACATGTCTTAAACCAAGACTAGGGTTCCAATCCTTTTTAAGCGTATTAACACAGATCTCTCCATTAGAAGCAACATTAGGATGGAAAATCTTAGTCATGAAGTAGCCTGCAATGTCAAACTCAAATAATTAGAAATCATCACAAAAAAATTCTAAGTGTCTCTGCCTTAACATAGAATTTAAGTGACATGCATACCTTTAGGCGGTGAATGTGGAAAATCATGGGACAAAGCCAACTTCATACGGAAAAGTCCGTTCTCATAAGGAGTACCAACTGTAGGCAACAAAAGTAAAGAACATCTTACTTAACATCATTCAACATCTGCCATCTTGTACGAGAATGAAATTGATAGGGTAATAAGTGTGCACCTGGTCCTTCAATATCAGCACATATTTGTGAGAAATCCTCATCATTAACTACAACCTTGATGCCATCTGGAGGGGATTCGTCCAGACTCTTCAGCTCCTTGGCAAGCTGCTTGATAACATTGGGTGGCAGATTCTCATTACTTGCCTGAGTATTAATGAGAAGACATATCAGTAGAAACACAGTTAATCAGATTCCAAGTAAGCATAATTCAAAGCAAGACATAGAGAGCGAGAGAGTTACCATGGAGAATAATACGCAGAAAAGAACCCTCCGCAAAAGTTCTTGCCCTCAGACTCAGATAAACAGGGAGAAGCAGCAATGTGATAAAATCCTTTTCTGGTCTTCAAGACTCAGATGCGATAAAACTGTGAAAGAGCAAAAAACCACAAAAGGTATGAGTAAACTAAAGTGGTCTAAGCAACAACATTCATTCAAAGCATTAAAACGTATCATCTAACAGATCAATCTGTCAAATCATAAAATCCAATACGACACCCAAAAAAAAAACAGAACTATTAGGCAATTGAGTAAAATCGATGAACAAAAATCTAAACTTGAAGCTCGTGGAGAAGAGGGAAGACATGAATTAATATGAACGAAACGCATCAAATACACGAGAAGAGAGCCAACCAATTGAGAAATCAAAGAAAACCCTAAGACGGAACAATTTGGGATCTCGCGCAATCGACTCTACGATTCCAAAGAATAACTCAAAAGACCTAATTGAGGCTAATTTATAAACGATAATCGAAGAGATCCCCCGAGAGAGAAGAACAGAGACAAAGCAAAGAATCACATCCCAAGTCCGATCATTTCAAGATGGAAAAAGAACATCAGAGAGATCTCAACGCGTACCTTCTTTGCCCAAAATTGAAAAGAACGCAGAGAGTGAGAAAAGGCGATCCCTTTCTCTCTACCTCTCGAAGTAATGATTCAAGTTGAAATCGGAGAAGAAGAAGAAGAAGAAGAAGAAGAAGAAGAGAGAAGTTCAATTATTGACAATATTTTTAATAAAGAGAAATAGAGACAAAATGTCTTCTTTTTTTATAATGTTAATTTAATAAAAAGGAGCGTATCATAAAAAAGGAAAAAAGAAAAAAAGGGAGGGTAATATTGTAAATGAAATGCCAGGCTGGAATTGACCGTTAGGATGTCATCTTATTCGCACCCGCTGCGCTAACTAGTTTAAGTAGCCGTTACTTTGTGTCAGATGTTCTTTAATTGTTTTTTACTTGATTTGTTTCTGTGATGGATATCATTAAGATCAAGGCATCAAAGCTTCAAAGTTTATATATCTATTTATTTATCCCATTTTTGGTTATACAAACAATAGTATTATCAGATGTTATACTTATAAGAAAAACACAACCCTAATCAAGGAATTAATTTAATTACTCATTAGAAAAGTGGGGGAGTTTATTGATTTGTTGGTTGAGGTAATGAATCAGTTCTCACGTGTCACATTTTGTGTGTTTGAAGATTGCAGATGACAGATACGAACCTTCTACATATATTTAATATGGCCCTTATCGACTTCAACATCTTTGGTTAGTTTAGAAGAAACCAAAGTGAAATTTGGTTTAGCATTTGAGCCCAAATATAAAGGCCCAAATACACACAACCTCGACGAGGGGACTTGTATGTTCGCGTTGGCGGCCTATTCAGGTTCTTCGCACTACGGTTAGCAGGTAGCATTGGACTTTTTGTTTCCACATATTTGTTTTGTTTTTCTCCGTCGTTCTACACACAATTTGTTTTCTTGGTCAAATCACATGTACGTACACATAATTTGATCTTTTATTGAACGAAATCTTAAGCTTGGTTCCACTTCGATCGATTCATGGGAAAACTGACCAAATTATAATCAAATTAATAATTGTATTAGGAACTTTACGCATGTCGATATTTTTATATATCTACTATGATTGGGTGGTGTAGTTTCATAATATCCTTATATATAGCAAATGGGGTCCTTTAGATGGACCGGAAATAAAAATGTTAGTCCCTATATATCATCATCATCATGCACATGTTTTTGATGTGGATGTGTACGTTTGCAAGCACTCGTTCGTCGTCGACAAAGGAGATTGGTAGGTGTTGTGTTTATCTTTTAGAATCTTTTTTACAAGAGTTATCTCCAGAGATTTTAATCAAATAAAGACAAAATAACATGAACCTCATGGACCCAAAAAAATCAATTCCGACTTCATAATTTTATAACATGAAAGGATAACATGAAAAGACAAACTAAGTTGTATAATGTGGAGTGTGGACCAAACTATTCTTTTCGAACTGGGATATTCTCCACGGACGTTCATATTTTATATATCTTCGAGATCTAATATTAGTTTTACGTTAGAACTTTGGACTTACACAAACCTCGTTGGTATCAAATGGTGACTATACTAAATAGTGAAAACATATAGATATTTACTTCTTTTGTCTCTTACATTTTTCCTTAGATGAGATGAACGCTACACAACCTTGTGTGTGAAAGTTGTGATTTGTGAACCTGATCATGTTTGGTTTAAAAGTTTTCAAAAATGCTTGTCGGCGTAAGAAAATTGTATTGAATATTTTTAGCTAAATATATTGGTGATGTACGTAAATTTGAATTTTCTGTAATGGATCAATCATGATCGAATCCAAGAAACTTAAAAACCAAACAAAAGTACTGTTATAATGATTATACAACAAACAAGTAGAACTGTAGAGAAGGGGAAACACAAGCTTTTTACTTATTAGTTTCTATGATGTTTAGAAAGAATTTATGATCTAATTTTCTTAGTTTTTTTTCCTTTATATGATCTTAAAAAGGAAAATTTCCACTTCAAGAAATTTGAAAAATTTGTGATTTAAGTGGCGCGTGGAAAACACTATCCGAAAAGAGAATTATACTAAAGACCACCACTCTCTCTCAGATTCGCAACTTTGAGTTTCATTGCTTGTAATGGCCAAATGGTCCAAATTTACAATGCCTTCAAATAGTTTGAGATGACGTTGTCTTTTTACTTTCATCGACGAAAAAGAAACTTTGAGTTATGTAGTTTACTTGGTTGAGTGATTGAATAATGAGGGATACTCGCTCACTTGCATGATATATCCATGACAAGATTACATAAATATGAGTAAAAACAAGAATAAAAGTTAAGAAACAAAAAAAAAACGAAGTAGAACAAAATTGGCCGTTAAAACAAGTCAAAAAGGTATAGCCAAACTTTTTTGCTATAAAATCTTTCCCGTGAAGCTCTTTAATTAATAATATTGAATTTGATGATATTGTGGAATATCTTGAGAGAATCTATAAAAGACTTGAAAGGCGATAGGTTCAGTTGCACCAATTGCGGTAACTCCGGGGTCACGTCAAACTCGTGTTATTTTGGAGTGTGTGATCGATCGAGAGTATAGTTCGTTCATCCTATTCAGTATTCACAAATACAATATTGGTGGTCTTCTGCATAAACAAACTGAGCAGTACGTTTCAATTTTGATTAAAAAAAAAGGTATAGCCAAACTTTTTGATTTTTCTTTTTACAAAAAAATTCCAACGTTAATATATAAGTCAAGCTATCTACATTCGATATAACAAATATTTTATATCGTTTTGCTTTCTATGTAACATTTTTACGTACGTTAGGACAACATCATCATCATCAAAATATTACAAAACGTTCTTTTCGCTGTATCTAAACTAAGGTAAGGTCTATCTAGTTTATCATAAAACTATTTTAATTATATAGTTAACTAGTTATGTTGAGATACCTAAATACAAGCTTCCTACTAGGTTAAAGAAAAACTGCAAAACAACCAGTGAATACGAGCCATAAAAAATATTTTTAAAAACGTTAGGTGGTGTAGTAGTATAGACTTTTAGAATCCTAAATTAATCTCCAATAGTCGAAACCCCCCCCCCCCCCCCCCCCCAAAGTTTTCTTCACAAGTCACAAAGTAGAACAAAAATGACCGTACCATAAAGCTTTACATCATTTGTTTATATCGTATTATGTAAGGAAAAAGAAAGAATCAAAGATCATAATGGTCAACAAGTGGAGGCCACGCGCCAAAGTAACGCGTCGGTCGAATCTAATGATCACTCTCTCAAATCTCAATCTCCTAGAAACAAAGAAAACAAGAAAAACAGATAAAAATTATAAAGAATCTTCTTCTCAAGTCTCTTCACAAGTCTTTGTGCCTCAAAATCAATAATATCTCTCTCTTTGCATCTTCCTCGTTCATCATCATTGCGTTTCCTTCCTCCTGTTTTTATTACATAGTGGTTTGAGAGACCATCAAGACTACTACTACTGAATACAAGAAGAGATTCAAGATTTGAGACTCTTCTCTCTCTCTTTTTGAGGATGAGAGAGGAAGATTCCAATTGGTTCTCTAAATGGGAAGAAGAGCTTCCGTCCCCGGAAGAGCTCATACCATTATCTCAGTCCTTAATCACTCCTGATCTCGCCATCGCCTTCGATCTCCACCGTCGCAACACCGAAAACTCCCCTCAAACTCTACCTCAAACCACGCTGCCACAACCCAATTCCTCTGCTGAATTCGCCGGAGACTCCAACGGAGACGAGCCAGCAAGAACTCTGAAACGTCCACGTTTAGTGTGGACGCCGCAGCTGCACAAGCGTTTCGTCGACGCCGTGGCTCACCTCGGGATCAAGAACGCTGTTCCTAAAACCATCATGCAGCTTATGAGCGTCGATGGTTTGACAAGAGAAAACGTAGCTAGCCATTTGCAAAAATACAGGCTTTACCTGAAAAGAATGCAATCCGGCGGCGGTGGAAGCGGCGTGGGAGGAACCGTCGGTGAGTCCGATCATCTCTTTGCTAGCTCACCTGTTCCTCCACATTTCCTTCTTCCGACAAGTAGACAAAGCTCCGACCATTTCATACCGTCTTTTGTCCCAATTTCGACTCAGCATCCAGCAGCTCATCTGCAACAACCGTCTCAGTTTCTCCACCGACAAATCTCCGCTGCCAATTTCACTTCACCGACCAAAGCGACCGACCAAGCAATGTTCTTGGCAAGGCAGAGTCAACAGCAACCAGTTTTCAGACCAGCTTCATTGCATGTGCATAGTCAAGTGGCTAACTACACACAAGATTTGGAATTAGAAGCCAAAACGGTCTTGACTCTGTTTCCAACTCGAGACGATTGAATATATATTATTGAACATTCACAAATCCGAGCTCTGCTTTTTTTTTTTTTTTTTTTTTTTTTTTTTGGTCTTTGCTCTGTGACCAGATCTTCCAAAGTGTTTCTACAATCCTCTGGTCTCCTCCTAAGAAGATTTGAGTTTTACTCTTGTAAAATTCTGAAGTACCTAAAAAGAAGTGATCTTTTTCACTTGTTTAGATTTGATTACACAAACTACTTTATTGTGTTTTTTTCTTCTTCCCCTTGTAGGTTCTCAGATTTGTTCTTAAAAGTAACTTGCATTAAATATAAAAAAAGCATTAGTAGGTACCAAATCTCATATTCTTCACAAAATTCAAGAACTTGAGTATAACCCCAAATGGCCAAATCCATTGTGTATGTTGTACAAATGGAAGTTAAAATATATATATATATATATATATAAATGATTATATATTATTGACCAACCAATAGAATCAGTAGTACAGTGTACAAAGAACATGAAACAGCCAAAAAGCAAGGACTAGACAGTGCCAGTCAGAAACTGAATCCCAGGATCTGATGCTCTCCTATCCTTAATCATGCCTTATTTAACTATTTTATCATGTACCAGAAAGAATCAGTTATTTATGTGACCAAACTCAATCAAAATTTGTTTCTATAATAATTAATCATAATCCTTGATTAATGAGAACTCTATAGGTTAAACTGCATTTGTGTACATTGGGTAGAGAGGGAGCAATTAAAAGCAATGATGGTGGGTTCATTAGCTGGCATGTTTCTTCTGATCTGTTTCTATAAAAGTCATACCCTTTTTATAAGTCCTTTTTATTATTTACTTCATTTTTGGCAATAAAACTATGAATGCCATAATATCAAGGCACGTTTCAAATGATCAATCTAGAAAATGGTTGAATAAAATTTATTTCATTGTTGGTAAAGTTAATGAACCTAAACATGAATTCCAAGTTGCATTCAATCAGAAGAATCAACGATATTATAATTCTTTGGAATATTGGAAATACGTTGACCATAAGAACAAAATATATGATCATGGTGATGGACTCATAAAACTCCAGACCTCCACATCTATCTACTATTAATGGGCCACAAGCTTTACAGGCCCGCCAATGTAGAGAAGCCTTGTAACAAAAGAAAGGGAATGCTTGCAGATTTTGGATTTCGTTGCGAAAGCTGGATAATAATATTAATATTTGTAACAACAAATCATAGAGATGTCTTGACATGAAAAGAGGCCAATGTTTGCAACAAGAGTAGAAAATCTAAAGCTACATTAACAAAACCTGTTTGGATACAAGACATTGGGCTGAAAACGAGGAACCGTCAGGGATTCGGGTGCCTGCAACCAAGAAGAAGAAAGACTGAGCACAATATGGTCAATGCAAGAGACTCTAGTGTTTAAACGAAGAACGCAAGCAAAGTATCTAAGAGTGAAATTAACCTGAAAATATGTGCGTCTGAGGCGTTCAACGTTTGAGCATAAGTCATAGTGGCACTAGGCCACTCTGTATAAGAAGGTGCAGTCATACCCGGGTTTAAGGGGTGTCCATAGTTTAGGCTGGCTTGACTTCTTGGCATCTGCGGGAAAAATGCGTCAGGGAATGGCAGCTGAATCGGCATCGGACTGAAGTTTTGTACCGGTGGTGTAACCCTCACGTACCTACAATACCACCAAAACAACAGTTAATTTTGACAAGGAAACCATGGCGGAAAGGTTGTTATTATCATTAGAGGCAATTCATGGGTTAGCTTAACCTGTTACGGTCATAATCAGGATCATAACGATCCTTCTCTCTATCTCTAATAATGGCAACCCGAGAAGTCCGTCCTGATTCTCTGATAACACCATTTCTCTCTAGATCAACAGGATTACTGTTATTATTTATTACCACTCCAGTCTCATTTCTACTCGGACATTGATTATTATGTTTTGTGTCAAGATGAGCAGGAGGAGCAGGAGCTCGTATTGACGAATCCTCAGAGTCTGAACTGCTAGGGCTATTAAAGATACGAGCCCGAGCTTTATCATACTCTTCTTTTCTCTCTTCAACGCTTCTCAAGAGATTCTTTTCAACCCCTGATCCACTACCTGTCCCACCAGATCCTCTGTTGGGTCTAGGCTTGATTGCGATTTTGAAACCTTCAGGCCTACCATGAATCTCAGGTTGCTTCACAGGAATCTCAGACAAACAGACAAATGGGTATCTACTTTCTGCTGTTTTGGTCGCCAGGATTCTGTTCCCTGAGCCATCAACACCACCACCGTCTAAAGCCGTGGTAAACAGCCCGTAATGTTGAGCAACACGGTGTGCAATCAGACGAAGATAAGATGTTGGCAAAGGCTGGAACTCATATTGTTGCTGCTCTGGACTTTGAAAAAACTTCTGTATATCGAGCTCCATACGCAAAACTGGCATACCGAGAAGAAAATAAAAGAGATAGGGAACATTATCATCCATCCATTGACCATGATGCTTATACATATACAGGAAGAGAACAAATTAAACAAAACGATTCTTTAAACAGAACAATTGCATTCTTAATTCAGAATAATTGAGCTAATGGAGTAGTGATTCTGATATTCCTAAAGCAATAGCCATGGATCTAATCATCAAGTATGAAAGCCAAACCCTAATACCTTAAGGAAATCGACCAAAACCCTAAACCAGAACAACAAATTTAAGAAACCCAGAATTATATGAGACAATAACAAACCCTATATAGACAACAACCGCTAGAGACATAACCTTATCAGATCAATTCCAACAAATTAACTACAAATTAAAGGGCTTTCAGAAAAATTGACTTACTGGTGAGACGATGACGAGGGTTCTGAAGAGCTTCGACCAAAAAAGGATCCACCATAGCTTCCTTCTCGCTCATAGCGGCCATGGACGGATGGTTTCTTCTCGATCTTAGTTTTGAGTTTAACCCCGTCGAAACAAGGGAAACGAAACCGATGAGATCAGAAAGGATTGAAATTTCGTGAGGGGAATTGAATTGGAGAGATTGAGAAGCAAATCGGTGAGATGACGAAATCGAATTCCAAATCCAAGAGGGTCAAGGAACGAAAAGACCTTATCGACCCTTTATCTCTCTCTCTCTCTCGGACACAAAATAAAACTAGTGGGGAGAATAAAATAAGAGAAAGTTGCAGCCTTTGATTTTTTATTTTTTAATAATTTAACCCAAAACGTTTTCCAATTTGAATATTTTCCCAAAGTTGTTCTCTTTGGGGCCAAATTCTAGAGAATAGAGATGACAACTTTTCACTTTGGGTCATATCATTTGGTGTGGTCGGTTATGTAGATTTGGAAGTTCAAACTTTTGAAAGTTTTCAAACATATAACTTTACATATGAAGAAGTCATGTAATCGTTTACACGAAGCACTGTTTAGAAGCAAACAAGCACCATGTTTATTTTCATTATACACAGCAGTCTTTTAGTGTATTCTATAAAAGCTCTATTTACACATGTTGTCACAAAACCCAAAAGCTATTCACAACTTCTACTGATACTTGCCGTTTCCATACTTCATCACTTCAACCATGAACTTCTCCAGTTTGTTGCCTCTCTCTAGCTTCAGAAGCAGTTCGAATTTCACACGGTCTTCAACCACCTGCGCGTCAAGAAAATAATCCCATTACCTAATTAGATGCTATGGCGGTCTGTTGATTCAAAAATTATAGTGAACATATGGAAACAACTCAACCTTTGCCCTGGCTAGGATTATATCTATGAGTTTATAAGGGTACAGCGAGTTTGATTTCTGCTGAATCGATTTCATGGCGTGCTTTGCTGCCTCCTGGACTTCAGGGTTATTTGTTGATACCACTCTCCAGTCAATTTTTTTGCCATCTGCCTCAAGCAGGGCAAAGAGATCAAGAAACACAAAAACAGATGCATCCCAAAGACTAAATTACTCGGTTCATTAACTTTTCAGTAACTAGCTGATCATAAGATCTGCTTTTCAGTAACTAGCTGATCAAAAGAATGAAAAGCAGATCATAGTTTACATATTACCAAACCCGACACGGAGTATTGATGTTCACTTCACAGTTGTTTACCTGGTTTCAAGCCAAGGTCGGAAATAGTGAAAGAGGGGATAACATTCTTAAACTCTTGAAGCTGCTTAAAGTTCATCCATGGCTTTACCCAAACTTTAGCTTCATACATCTTCTTCTCTCCAGCTTCGATAACTTCAAGAGTAAGATGGTAGAGCTTACCAGCAACCACCTGCTCTGTTGCCTTTAACACTCTAGCAAGCTCAAGAACAGCATTCTACGCATAAAAACCATAGACCAATAGAAAAATATCAAAACAAAACCTGATTAGCCATATAAGGAATAAACAGAGTGAAGAGAGAAATCATAAACTTCTTTAAACTCTACTCTCCAATCTCTAAATCAAAATTAGACACGAAAATCACTTGAATTTACGATTGTAAAAATTATAAATTTAGGATCCAAAATTCGAAGAGAAAAACACACAGGAGACGCTAGTGGGAGTATAGTCTTAGTGAAACACATAACAATCCTAAACCCTAATTGCAGAGAATATACAAATTAGGTTGGAGGAAACCAAACCTCTCGTCTGTTGTGTTCTTGAACAGCAAAGAGTGCAATATCGTCGATCTCTTCCCCACCGTTCCGATCATTCATGGAACCACTTAATCCACCAAGCTTCATCCTTACGATGTTGTTGTTGTTGGCGTCGTTGAATGTTCCTATTTCTTCTCTGCAGATCACAAACTGGCCAAATTCAGGAAGAAGAACCAACGACACGCAAATCAACATCATCATCACCGAAGCTCGTCTCATCTCCATCTTTCCCAGTGAACTTCTCCGATTCCCAAGTTTCCGATCTAAAACTCCGACGAGAATTTTCTTCCGAGTAAGACACCTAACAGTCGGGGGTGGTTTCTTTCGCCGGTTAAAGACTGTTTCCGTTTAAGCGAAGCAAAAGCAATATTATGGGCCAATATTTAAGCCCATTATAATTGAGTGTGGACTCATCTGAAGGCCCTTTATGAAATCAATCTATCTCTTTGTTATAATTTACTTCGAAAGTAAATGTTTGAAACTAATATTGGCTATTAAAAGCCATGTATAATAAGAAAAAAAAAAGAAGTCAAAACTGTGCTACAATAATATAATAAAATCATTAAAGTTAATTTTTGATTTGAGAATCAGCTATATAGAGATTTGATTTTGATTTCAGCTATGTATATAGAGATTTGATTGTAAAAACACTTCAATCAGTTTCTATACTCTTCAAAGGTAGTCAAATTTAATTTTATTACTAACTTTTAATAAATATTTTTATTATGTTAATAAAATATGACAGATAATAAAATAACTTTGATATTTCAAAAGTAATGTATATAAAAATATATTAAAATGCAAGCAATAAAAACCCCTAGAAACTAAAAGGTAAATTTTTTTTTGTTTTTGAACAAATAAGCAAAGACACCATCAATGAAATAAGCAATGAAAACCCCTAGAAACTAAAAGGTAATTTTTTTTTTTTGTAAATTTCTTATTTAAGATATGAGATAAAAGTTGACTACATAATGACACTAATTAAATCTTTGAATCATGTTTTCTAAAGTTGACTACATAAAGATCCACTTATCAAATCTTTGAACTCATATATATTTTTTCTTTCAACCATATCCAAAATTTAATAGGGCAAAAGCTATTAACCAAATTCACCCAATTTACTTTGGAAGTAAGGTTTATAACTATTTTTGACTAAACAAATTTCCCAAATATGATACACAAATATGTATAACAATATGCATTTATTTTAAATCAAACCTACAACTTTCCTTAATATTAAAAGTCCATACAATCTATATAAATACCTATCACGATGCAATCATATATGTAAGCATAACTAATCCTGCAAAAATTAAAAGGATCCATTCGATAACGAGATGTTTTCTTCGGGTTTGAGTGATGGTAGTGAAATTAGCGATGATGGCTCTTCCACCGGATCGTTAGAGAATCAGAAATACAAATGTAAATATTGTCCTAAGAGGTTCGATAAATCACAAGCATTGGGTGGCCATCAAAATGCTCACAGAAAGGAGAGAGAGCTCACAAAAAAACGTAATCTTGGCCAATTGAACCAGTCCGGGTTAGATCTGTACAGGTCTTCGTTTTCGTATCCGTATAAATTTCCAAAGGAGTATGCACTTCCACCGGGATTTGAAGAACCTCGTTACAAAGCTGATAGGTTAGAGAATCAAACCATGATGAACGAGTACGACAAATATGCAGAATCCTTAGGTTCTAATTTTGTAGGACAATCCCAACCTCAACCATTATTTTCTCCATCGTCACCATTGAGCTTAGATCTTTGCCTTGGTACTGGTAAACCTCAAACCCAACCGATAGAAACAACCAATGCAGCTGACGAAATGGTTGGAGAGAATGAAAATGATGGCTCTCCTCTTTCTCACTCACTCAAACGGTGAAATTGTAATGTTTACATTCTTTAATTTTCAGTTCAGCTTTTTGATTCTCGACTCTTGTTTAGTGTTAATTTAATAGTCTTGGCTTGTGTCAAATCTTTACTTTAACATTCTGATAAAATTGGTTGTTACTTAAACATTTGAATTCATAATAAAAATAAACATTCTGACTCTCGGGTGTAAATTTACATTTTAAATAGTTTGATCTGCAATCTCAAAAACTTTGTGAGTTGTGTACGATACAAGAATAAGATTATTAAGCGAAAAGAAGGTTCTTTCGAAAAAAAACGAATTTTGAAAAAAAAACCTTCGACCGCTCCTCCGTCTCACTTTTCTGAATTCTTGTGCGGCCTCTCTCCGTTTCAATTGTACCATGGCGAACGAAGAAGACGAAGTTCAATCTCCGTCGCAGCAATCTCAGGACTGTAATACAGAGTCTTATTTGGTAGGTTTCGTAATCGCGAACATAGTAGGGTTACAGTACTACTCAGGCCGAATCAATGGTCGAGAGATGGTTGGTCTGGTTCGAGAACCTTTAAACCCTTACGACGAAAACGCAATTAGGGTACTCAACACTCGATCTGTTCAAGTGGGTCACATCGAGCGTAGAGTGGCAGCCGTTCTCTCGCCGTTGATTGACTCTCACACGATCGTCGCCGAAGGTATTGTACCCAATACTCGTTCTAACTCCAATAGGTACAAAATTCCATGTCAAATTCACGTTTTTGCGAATTTAGAAGACTCCCCTGCTGTGAAATCTACGATTTCTAGAGCTGGGTTAGTATTGATTTCGGATTCAGATACATCGTTTGGGTTATCTGAGGCTGTTGTGGTCAAGGAACAGATGGGCAATGGAGATAAGAAGAGTGTAGACAAGATTTTCAAACTGGTTGATCAGAATGTTGTGAAGTTAGAGGGGAAATTGGTTGCGGTTGAGCCACCTAGGGAAGTGATTAAGTCAGAACTGCTTGCTCATCAGAAGGAAGGATTGGGCTGGTTACTCCATAGGGAGAAATCTGCGGAACTTCCTCCCTTCTGGGAGGAGAAAGATGGAGACTTCTTGAATGTCTTGACAAATTACCGCTCTGATAAGCGGCCTGAACCTTTGCGTGGAGGGGTGTTTGCTGATGATATGGGATTGGGTAAGACCCTTACTTTGCTCTCCTTGATAGCTTTTGACAGATATGGCAATACCTCCACCAGTACGCCAACGGAAGAACCTGTGGATGTAGAAAAGATTGAAAACAAGGGTAAAAAGAGGGGAAGAGGCAAGATCAGTGAAAGTCGAACTCGAAAGAAGCTTAAATCTGATAATGTTGTTGGTATGAATGTGTCTCAAAAGACAACCTTGATCGTTTGTCCACCTTCTGTGTTTTCAGCATGGATTACACAGTTAGAGGAGCATACTGTACCGGGAATCTTGAAGGTGTATATGTATCATGGTGGCGAAAGGACTGACGATGTTAATGAGCTTATGAAGTATGATATAGTGCTGACTACTTACAGCATTTTAGCTGTGGAGGAATCGTGGGAAGATTCTCCTGTCAAGAAGATGGAATGGCTAAGAATAATTCTTGATGAGGCACACACCATTAAGAATGCAAACGCTCAACAGAGTCGAGCCGTTTGTAATTTGAAGGCTTCCCGCAGATGGGCTGTCACGGGAACTCCTATTCAGAATGGTTCATTTGATCTGTACTCTTTGATGGCGTTTCTCCGGTTTGAACCATTTTCAATTAAGAGTTATTGGCGAAGCTTGATACAGCGCCCGCTTGGTCAAGGGGACAAAAAGGGGCTTTCACGTCTGCAGGTAAAACATTATACACATTTGACCCTGTTTTAAAGTTTTGCTCTTTGGTGGAAAAAAGTTATTCAATTACACGTTTTTTTCAGGTCTTAATGGCTACAATTTCGTTGAGGAGAACAAAAGAAAAGAGTTTGATTGGTTTGCCACTTAAGACTGTTGAAACTTGTTATGTTGAACTTTCTCTGGAAGAACGTCAGTTATATGATCACATGGAAGGAGAAGCCAAAGGTGTTGTGCAGAATCTTATAAACAGTGGTAGCTTGATGCGCAACTACTCAACGGTTTTGAGTATTATCTTACGGCTTAGACAGCTTTGTGATGACATTTCCCTATGCCCACCAGAATTAAGATCTTTTATCACTTCTACATCTGTCGAAGGTAAAAACAAAATAGTTACATATTCTTACTTTTGTTGCAAACCATAAATCTGTGTGCCTTTGTGAAACAGATGTAACTGATAAGCCAGAGCTATTGCAAAAGCTGGTGGCAGTATTGCAAGATGGCGAAGATTTTGACTGTCCAATTTGCATTTCGCCACCACAAGATATCATCATCACTCGATGTGCTCACATCTTTTGCAGGGCTTGTATTCTTCAAACTCTTCAAAGAAGTAAACCATTGTGCCCTCTTTGTCGTGGCTCTCTTACTCAATCCGATCTCTACAATGCTCCTCCTCCTCCTCCGGATTCTACCAACACCGATGGAGGAGACACCACATCTTCAACAAAATCATCAAAGGTCTCAGCTTTGCTATCCCTGCTGATGCAATCAAGACAAGAAAACCCCAACACAAAGTCTGTTGTATTCTCTCAGTTCAGGAAGATGCTGCTTCTACTAGAAATACCGCTAAAAGCTGCGGGTTTCACCATCTTACGCTTGGATGGATCAATGACTGTGAAAAAACGCACCCAGGTCATTGGAGAATTTGGGAATCCGGAGTTCACAGGACCTGTGGTGTTGCTCGCGAGCCTCAAGGCCTCTGGTGCAGGCATAAACCTAACTGCAGCATCAAGGGTTTACATGTTCGAGCCGTGGTGGAACCCTGCAGTTGAAGAACAGGCCATGGATAGGATTCATAGGATTGGGCAGAAACAAGAGGTCAAAATGATAAGGATGATTGCGAGAAACAGTATTGAAGAGAGGGTCCTTGAGCTTCAGCAGAAGAAGAAGAATCTAGCGAACGAAGCTTTTAAAAGAAAGAATAGGAAAGACCAGAGAGAGGTTAACGTTGAAGAAGTGGTTGCTCTCATGTCTCTCTGAAGTCTGAACTCTCTGCATCACTTCTTTACTTTCACCGGTTTACTCCTTATCAACTAGACTTCAGTCTCGGTAGTTTTAGTAGTTACGGGTTAGCTTGTAAATGTGTTTTTCTGGTTTCAGTTCGGTTTACTTTTGGTCGGTTTAGTTTGGTTAAAAGACTCCTGTCCGAGACGATTTCGTAATAGTACAACAAGTTTAATACTTTTAGTTCCTTACTAGATATGACTTGACTGGTTAAAAGTGACATTTTATGTTTGTTATATTATCATTAACTCATTACTCATGTGTGATTAGATGAAATTTAGTTGGGGGTTAGATACTTACTTACATATGATGAGGCTTCACCTAACAAGTTTTACTTGACGTCAACACAATTCTCGTTGTTCTAATCTTCAAAAAGTCAAATATATCAAACGGCGTCAAAATACGTAAGGGGCAATTTACTCTTTCTCCATATCGTAAAAGTCACACAACACAAGAACACAACCGTGTCATAAAGATTTATCCTATGCAAATAGTCAACGGTACAAAAAAAAAATATATACAAACACAAGAAAACCGTATAAATCCAAACTAAGTAGCAGAAAAATAATAATATATTCAAGAGTAAAACGAAATTTGGTCAAGAGTGAGTTTTAAACCGTATAAATTTGTTCAAGAGTAAAAATTAAGTCTTTTGACACTTAAAAGCAGAAAAGAAGAAGAAAATTGTTTAGTGATGATGGTGGTAATACAATAAAAGAGGTGTAGAGAAAAATACAAAATTATGATCGTCTTCAAAAAGATGTATAAATATTTCATTCATATATGATGATTCTAATTTCTAACATTAATATTAGCGTAAAGGGTACCAACTACACAAGAAGTAAAATTGTTTGGGAGCAGGTCCGTTACGGCTTGTAGATCCCATTCCCACCTCAGCTTTGCGCTAGCTGTGACGATATCACTAAACCTAAAAAGGGCATAAAAGTAGAGTAATAATGATATAACATGGAAATAAACTTATAATCTTAAACAAAGTACGTAACAATGATTCAAAACGAAGACGAAATTTTTTGAGACTGGTTGATTTGGTAGGTACAAAATATACTAGTATCCGAATAATAAATCGAAACTAAAACATTTTTCATATAGTTTTTTTTTTTTTTTTCATGTAGTTAGAATGGTCGTATATATTAATAGATAGCTTAGAGAATGAATATTATTGATGGATACAAATTTGAAGAATATTACTACAATATTAGACAAGGTAGTAACTCAGATAGATCGTTTAACAAAGTATGATGAGTCAGTGAGTCACACAATGATTAAAAAAAAAAAAAGTGCTGATCAATAGAGAGATAAATATGTCTAAAAGTGCCGTCTTATTATTTATGAAAAAAATAAAAAAATAAAAGATAGTAACGAGACGGACTCGTGGTAGATGGAGTAGTGAATTGTGATATCTCTCTTCTTCTTGCAGAAAACAAAACAACACATTGAACACAACACACAAAATCACGCACCAGTTTCATCGGGTCCACCGTAAAGCAGCCACTATATCTGCCGACGTGTCGGCTATATCAGACGTCCTTCACGTATACGGTGGATGTCTGACAGGGCGGTGAGGCTTAAGCACTCATCGTAAAAAGGGGGTTTCACTTTTCACGCGTTTGGGGTTTGAAGGTGAATTAGATTCTGATTTGGCCACTTTTGCTGTAACTCACCGCCCCCAACAAATCCCCTTCTTCTTCGTTTTGTCACCACATAATAATAATATCATACTATTATTTTTGGATGTGGGATTGATTTTTTGTTGACCATCATTATTAATTGCTTCAAATTCGATACTATCAGAAACTTCGTTAATTTTCTTATTAGGTGCTTCAAGCTGTTTCCATAGTAATACTCTTTAGCTTTATATAATAACTTTGTTAACGCATATCAAACTTCTTAGCTTTTAGTTATGATTGTGGACTACTAGTGCTATCATCTCAAAATATATAGCTACGCTCTTAAGACATGATACACGAACAAAAAAAAATTAAGGATCTCTACACACAGTACTGATTAGATATATAGTTATGTCTTCCTAGTTAATCCGCTATTAGAGATTTTACTAAGTTAATGCTTGGCTGTAAGTTGTAACTTCCATTTAACAAGTTACTCTTATGGCCGTAACAACCATATGGTTGTTATGAGTATTATTTTATTTAGTGTAAAATCTGTGAAGGTTACGAGACTTTTAGTTTGGAGCTGGGAAAATTTTACATTTTCCAAAGTATGATTATGGATTTTTAATAACATTGTAAATCATTTTGTACCTAATCCATAGTACAGAGCAGTATGTTTAAAACATTTGAAAACAGAGAAATACTGTTCTGTCTTACGAATGAATATGAACAAAGAAAGTACCTAATCCGATTCCTTTATATCACTTTGACATGAAATCGTTTTGTTTTGTATCGCTGCGCTGGATTTACCAAAATATAATTTCTACATAACTTTTTTGACTAGAAAGAGTATAGGACAAAACTATATTACATCAGCAGCAGCTTAACGAAAATTAAATTCTCATAACAAAAAAAAAAAAAGTCTTTTGGTAAAATTTTACTTTTGACATTTTTTAACGTGTCCACCATTAAGAAACTTGTAGATGATTCTGTGGTAGTGAAAAAAGAGTTTGACCTTGTTCTGTCACTAATTTAACTTGTGTCGTCGTTCAAGTACAACGCATGTGTGGGGGAAAAAACAATACTATTTGTTTTTATTTTAAAATTTAAATATATACTCTTTAAAAATAATGAAAAGCCAAATAAGACCGATCAGGTCAAAAGAAAAGCCGTAAAGAAAATCCAACTTATTAAAATAAAAAAAATCTCATTTACCAAACATATACAGGAGACTTGTAGAATAATAAATACATCAAAAAAATTATTTAATTTTTTTCTCTTTCTTCAAAGAGAAAATTTAATATAAGTTTTAAAATAAATAAAAAGATTGAGCTTTCTTGTTGAATTGAATTGGGTACCTCCGTACCTGGTTTAACGTAGTAGAAGCAGCAGCACTTGGGTTTTTTTAGATTAGACAACGTAACCAAAACTGTTTCGTGTTTGTCTGTTTTGTTCCTTTTTTTTAATTTCTTCTTCTTCTTCTCATCTCTTCTTCTCTTTCTTTGCGGTGCATTTTTCCTTATTTTCTCGGGAAAATCCTTTCGTGGGCTTTCCGGGAAAGTTTTGTCAGATTCGTTAACAAAAAAAAAAAGATTTTTTAGGAAAGGAAGAAAATAAAAAATACAAAATCTACAGAAATACCAAACAGATTTTGTGTTCATCCCTTATTGATTCTTGTGATCATCACAAATCTTTTTTCGTTTTGATCATTTTGGCAAGAATTTTACCTCTCAAAGTCTCAACCTTTACATTTTTTTTTCTTCTTCTTTCAGTTTGATTTTTTTTTTTTTTTTTTGGTAAGTAAGACATTGAAAAATAAAGATAAAAAATCTTGTGGGTAGATTCAGTATTTTGATTCGGAGCTCTTCTCTTTTTTTGGGATTCAATCTAAACAATCTCAGTCTTGTTCTTCTTCCGTTTCTGGAAAAAATAAATTCTGACTTTTGCCTGAGTTAATTCTTCTTGAGTTTCAATTCAATTGAATTGAATCCGATTTGTTCGATCGAGACAAAAAAACAAAAAAAAAGTCGGATTCGAAATCGATATCAAAGTTTCCATTTAGACGGTTACGGCAATGAAAGCATCATCTTCTTTAGATAGCTGGAGAGAGTACTTCCGGCGAAGAGATTCCGATATATTCGGGATCATCGATCATGCCATCATGGTGGCTGCTGCTGATTGTCCTAACAAATTCAAATCAAGGAGAGACCAAATCGCCGAGCTTCTCTTCTCCTGCAGAGTGAGTCGTTGCGTCGGATGCGACCACCTTGAGCTATCGGTTCCGGGGGAGGACGAGGCCAGTCGCGGCCGTCGAGCTGCCGGGAATGGTGACGGTGGAGCTGCGGCGGTTAATGATGGCGATGAAGATTATGAGGTTGGTGGTAGTAAAGAGAGCAAAGCTAACAGTAGCAGAGGAGATAATAATCACATCGATGAGATGAATTTGAATAGTAATCAGATTGTTAGCAATTATACGTTTGATGAAGCTGAGGCTTTGAGTGATGAGATTGAAGAGTTCTCTGTGATTTCTAAGGAGGTTGGTAGGATCAAAGAGATCTTGCTCAATAAAGATGATGAGGTTTGATCTTAAGTCACAATCTTTGTTTCATTCCATTAATGTGAAAAGCTGCTTGTCTTTTTTATCTGATTGTTTCTTGTTCTTCTTGCAGCCTAACTCGGTGTTACTCGAATCTTTGAGACAGCTTAAGTTGATGTCTTTGAATGTGGATATTCTTAAGGTTGGTTTCTTGGTGGATAGTATATGACGTTTTTGTTGATCTGGGGTGAGTGATGTTAAGGTTTGCGATTATTCTCGCAGAGTACTGAAATTGGAAAGGCTGTTAATGGCCTGAGGAAACATGGTTCTGATAAGATTCGCCAGCTCGCAAAGACACTTATCGCGTATGACCTTTGATCTTTCATTCTTTGGAAATTCTTACTCTTTTGCACCTTTGGAATGTTAGATTGAGTTTTTATGTTGTGTTTATGCAGAGAGTGGAAGGAGTTAGTGGATCAGTGGGTGAATACCACAAAGGAAATTACTGGTAATTACGCTCTCTCTGTCTCGTCTTTCGATCCTTTACGTCTGATAGGCTACGCCACTTATAATTTGGTTTCTTGAATTAGATCCATAGTCTTTGGTTCTAATTTTGTGTTTAAAATAGGTGCTGAAGGTACACCAGAGTCTGCAAACCCATCTGTTGTTGATGAAGAAGAGGAGTTCCCATCGCTTCCATATGATGTTGATATCTTTACACCGGAACCAAATGGATTTGAAATCTCACACTTCTTTGATTCCTTGGACTTTGATGGAAGTGAGTTGGACTACTCTCTTGTTTGCTTGATACCATGTTTTTAGCTCATATGTTCGGTGTATTAATCTTTCCGGGGGGGATGTTTGTATCAGATCCTCGTAACTCTGGGGAATACAACACTAGCCGAGAACACGAAAGAAGGCCACAAAATATCGCCAAGAGAAGACCGGAGGGAACACAAATGAGGATACAAGATGCTCCTTTTAGATCTGTTAAGCCATCATCAGCTACTGGTTCTGATGGGACTAGGAGACCTCTAAAGCAAAGTACAGAGCAAAGGGTGAAGAACGAAACGGTATCTGTTCACAAGTCTGAAAGACCCATGATCCAAAGGAAACCGCTTGTTACAGAACAGAAGCGGAAAGCTCCCGGACCTCAACAAGAAGTGAGTGTGGAAGTCAAAGCTCTTAATTTATCAAATTCTTGGACACATCGTTGACAGTGTTTTTGTTCTTGTCCCTTGCAGAAACTTAAAGGTCTTGACGCAGATGCAAGGTTTGAGTTTGCAAAGAGGAAACTTCAAGAGAGCTACCAGCACCACGAGAATGGTTAGTTTCTTATACTTCCTTTTTGTTACAAATGATTCGACGCATTCTGAAAACAGAAGAACTGATAAACATACAAATATGTTTGTGACCTTGCCACAGCCAAGAAGCAGCGGACAATACAAGTACTTGAAATGATCCCGAAGCAAGGTGTTCAGAAACCTCAAGTCAAGAGACCTGGAATGAGCAACAGGAACTGGACAAACGGGCGAAAATAGCTTCTTCTTCTTCTTGTCTTGTCAAAATGGTGAATAAGTCTCAGAGAAAGATCCACCACGACTACATATACGTACCACACAATACCCGCAATCACTGGTGCAAGGAAGGTAAAACAGAATCTAGCTCAACAAAGCTGGAGACAGAAACAAGCAGAGGAGAAGGAACAGATTCCAACATAACATTACTTAGAAGAAACTGTTTATCTCCTCTGTTGTGTACTGTCTTGGATTCACCAACTGCAGCAGATAGGATCCCCCAATTATTGTTACTTACTGTGTTGTTGTTACTTCTTCTTACGACATTCTTGAGACTTTCGGTACAGTCCTCGGTTTAGTTTCGGTTTTGGGACGCAGAGGGAGAAAGAGAGGTCCCTTTTACACATAAGAATATAAAAACTGTAAAAGAAGGTAGAAAAGCTCATTGGAATTGGACCGGCTCTTCACCTAACTTTTTTTGTATAGTACAATGTGAAATGGTTTGGGACACAATCAATCAATAGAGAAGATGATGATGATGATGACATTTTTTGTATTGCCTTACTAATAAAAATAAAAGTATTTAAACGATATCTATTGGATATGAACGTGATTGTGACAAAATGTTGTTTATTTAATAAATTTTTATGTAGAGGAAAATAAAGAAAAGAAGAAGATGCATTGCATTGAAAGGCATAATAAGGGAAGGGTGGGTGGATAAGAAAAGAGGAGAAGGTGGGAGTTAACGTGGATGGATAGGAATGTTGTTGTTGTTGCATTGTGGTCTTTGTGCGTGTTCTCTCTCGTTATTATTATTAGTATACTATATTTTACTTATATATATAATTATATATCTCTCTCTCGTTATTATTATTAGTATACTATATTTTACTTATATATATAATTATATATCTCTCTCTCTCTCTCTCGGCGTTACGCGTTCAGGCATTTCACCACATGTACCACGTGTATTTCTTCTACACCTTCTTTCTAACTTTTTATTGGAATACTTTGCATAGATAAAAATCTAAATTTTATGGTCACGATTTTTAAGTTTTGTATAAAGGAAACGTACTTTATAGTTTGATTGAGAAAGTAACCAACACACCTTTACTACTAACATTGGACATAAACAAACGTAATGAATTTTGGCGTTGATGGGTGGTGAATCGTATGGATCTGTTGGTTTTTTTTTTTTGTAAATGTGAAAAAATACAAAAAATTGTAAGTCTCTGTACCAAACTGAAAACACATCAACTAATGCGAAGCTCTAAAGTTTTATACATCATTTAACGACATTTTTTAGTCTTCCATTAATTAACTTTTACTAATGTGGAGAAATCATATATACTTTGGAAATATGACTTCAAAATGAGTCATGATTAAGTGAGACATCATCCATCGAATCAACATGGAGTACTTTAATACTACTATTTTCATTGAGAATCAATAAAATTATAATTTTGAAAGTCATTTGTAACTAATCAAATTGACTTATATATAATAGGAGATATAAACATTTATATACTAAAAACTACACTTAATTTCTGATGTGTAACATTCTAGTAAGGGATTAATGAAATGACTCAAATATAAATATAAATATAATCATGTGCTAGTGTTGTTTAATATTTTGGGTTCCTTCCTAGTCATTGGAGTTGGGAAGACTTAAAAATAAATGAAGGCATGTGAAGGCAAATTAAGAGTCGAGAAAATTTGACTATTTCGCGAATTGACCATACCGATTAACGACGACGGCGTTGTTTTTTTTTCCATGCAGAAAAGTCTAACATAAGAAAAGTATCGCATCAGTTCCTGCCGACACAAAATAATTTTAGGTTACCACCATTTTATATATATTATGTGCAATTTAAGATAAATATATAAATAGCTAATCTTTACAAAATTCATTACGTCATAACCGATATATACGGTGGGATAAAGAAATAAGAGTTGACAAATGCAATAACTGTAAAATCTATATTGCGTTTTAATAAGGCCTTATATAAGGGATATGCAAATGTAATGTAACCTTGGAGATTCGAATTGCATACATTCGCGCAAATAGTAGAGGTATAGCTCCTTGCTTCCTCCTATATTATTACTACAAGACTAAAACTATGAAATCAACAACAGAAAGAAAACAGAGTAAGAAATGACTTTCACACACAACTGCAATGTTATGTTCTCTGTCTGTTTCCCGAGACTTTTAATCCAAAGCGTACATAATTTAAAGGTCATCGAAGCGTATATATATAAGTATGATGGCGACAATTCAGAGCTCAGAACGGGTTTGTCGCTGAAGAAACGTGGGAAAACCTTTTTTTCAAGAATGTCGATGACTCGATCTCATGCAAACGGTGGTTTTGTATTGAACTAAAAAGGCACCCTCTGGATGAAACATTCCATGAGAGATTCGAATGAAAGCAAAAGGATCGGGATAATACAAAATTGTTTGTTTGAGTTTTATATATAAACGGTAAAGAATAAATTGTAAGAAGAACATGAGTTGTGTTGATCGCAATATTATACAACTATTGTGTCGCTCGTCTCTTGTAAGGAGAAGAAGCATTTATGTTCCAACTCCACCATCTGTCCACCATCTGCTTGATCAAATCTGTACCTCCGGAAACTTCACATTTTCCGGCCATAAATTCCGACCATTAGATGAGGATAAAACAATCAGACTTTCCAAAAAGAGCCAAAGTAGAGTCAAGTCATAGAAACTAAAGAAGAGATATTAAAGCTTACCTTCCATCTATGCCTACGAGAAGAACATTGTTCTCTGATCCAAAACCTACGATGAACTTGGTGGAAGCTGGCAGTGAGAACTGAGCAAACGACCTTTCATTTTCGTAGAAATACTTCGGTAAGATCCCTCTTATGAATGACGACGAAGAAGCAGGACTATAACTAAGAATGTCAGGTCTCAAACGGAATACATGGAGAGTCCCTTTATCACTCGATGCAGCGACCCATCTCAGATTCGAAGAGCTTGCAAGGTTATAGATCTCTGCTCTTTCCATTCCTCTCCGAAACTTCACCAAGAAAACCAAACATATCAAACTTATACTTAAAGTAACTTAATTACAAAAGTACATGATCACAACAACAACAAAAAAAAACGCAAATATATTTAGGGTTTAACAAAAAAAACAATTAGAGTTAATTAAGTAGCTACCTCTTGTAAGAGAGTGCCATCAAGAGCGTTAAAAATCCTGATAAGAGTTCCTTTAGTGCTAGCGGTCGCAAGAAGACTTCCATCGATTGTCAAAGTCATGCAAGCAATAGCAGAATCATGTGCTTTTATATATTTGATTACATTCCGTTTCAAGTCATGGACCTGAACTTGTCCCGGATGAAACCCTGGACAAGCCAAGACTGCTTTCGTCTCCACGTGAGAGATGCAACACAATCCTTTAGGGTTCATGGAGGTTTCGATCACACGGTAAACCTTAAGGGTGTTGAAACTGTAGACGTAGACTTTTTGTTTCAGGACAACCACAATGTGTTCTCTCGTCAGTTTCACAGCGATAACTTCTGATTTAAAAGCGAGCTCGCAGAAGCACGTGTTTCTATGATCGTCCCAAACGAAGACTTTGTGAGGAGGGTACTCGGAATTGTTGTAGCCGTTGCCAACAAGAGCAAATAGGTTAGAAAGGAAGAGCATCTCGGCGGTTTTGAAGCCTAATTCGTGGGGAGCACGGCTGATGCTTTTCTTGATCATTGGGTTGCAACTATACACATCGAACCCTCGATTTGTTCCGACAATGAAACCGCTATAGTCTTGGTTCCAAGCTACGGATAACACCTTCAAGTCACCCTTGGCTTCAAGATCACGTGGCGAATCCGAAGTTTCAGATTTTGAAAGCGTTAATATGCCACGGACTCCACGGACTCTTGAGAGCATCGAATTCATTCTTCTTCTTTTTTTTTTCTTGTTTTCAAACCAAAACCACAGTCCACAGAAGAAAGAGCAAAGAGACGAGAGAGGCTTTATTTAAAATATCAAAAGCTTCTCATAAAAAGTTGGGAAATCTTGTTGATAGTTTGGTATTTTATAAAAGTAAAAAGATTCCTAAATAGAGTACAAATAGGAAGAGACTCCAAACGATATCAATTCTAATTTAATACTTTTATGGAATTTTAAAACCAAATATATTTATATCAAAACGATAACGTCTCATTAAAAAGAGAATATACACGTCTTTATCTAAGACATATTTTTGATAAATACTAATATCCAACCCTTAAATTGTGTATATATTTAATTATTTGTTAAAGGGTTTTCATTAAAACTAAATGGATACAATGTTTTAAGTCGCAAAAGAAAAAAGAGAAAAACACATTTGACTTAAAAAAATTAATGAAATAAACTGAACACAACCTACACTTAACTACGGCTGACTTAAAAACGAAGAAGGACTATGACTGATCCTTGAAATCAAACATGCCGAATCTTTGTTGTGAATAGTTACATGATCTTCTTATAGATTTGGGATGTCGAGAGTCTTACATATATGTGTGAATTTTATTGCTAAATTCTTTCCATATATTCATATGTAGTTTTTTAGTACGGTCGACGATCGGATGCTCCATTCATTTAGGGCGTTGCGTGCCATGCATGCAGCAAACGCATCAGAGACGTCATTATCTTCAAGCATCTCATCTATCCTTTCTTAATTTGGCATCTTATTCACCATCTAATTAATGGATTCAAAAGAGATCCTCAAGTTTCAGGAAAAGAATCAGATGTGTTTTTGTTGGTCATAAATCCTGAAACTCTAAGGAGACAGGTTTGACATTGATGGTTGCTTTCAAAATCATTGAGTTAACAGTAACAAAAGAGCTCAATCATGAGTCTTTGAGGCACGTACAGGTGAAAAATCATACTACTACTAATGTCACTTCATAGTCAATCTTCGTGGATTAATAATCCATCATTGTTCATTATTCATTTAGTTAGACCAAACCCAACCTAATGAATTTGGAGGGGACTTGAAAAGCAAATCTCATAGTACAGCCACACAGTGCTAGATAGAAATATATTATCATAAGCCAATATCTTTGATCCTGATCTCTTGTGTTCTTACACTTTATGCACCTAATTCTGTTAAATGCAATTAATCAAATTTAAACAGAAACCCCAACTTGCAGTGGTTGGTAATTTGGTAAATAATCCCTACACACAAAATTCACACTTTACCTTTTATAGTGGTTAAAAAGTCTTGCAGATGGGTCTCTTCAAAACCCAACATAATTAAACCTACTTTTGTGGTAAATGTTTGTTTGTGGATAACTTTTTATATCAATTTTGATGTGTTTTATGAAACAAAGCAGAATCTAACGACCAGTAAAAAGTTAATTAGAAAACAAAATTAAACACATCTAGTTGTATATTGTGGTTAATTTTTATAAAATTCTGATGAGATCGATCACTACCTTTTATAATTTCTTGATTTGCATGCTGTATAATGCAAAGCAAAGGCAAAAAAGCAAAATATTCTTTAATTTGTGTAGTGTCTTTTGTCTCTTAAAGAACAAATCAAAGAAGCAAAAAATGGGATATGCTTTTGCTTTTCTTTCCCTCCTTTCTTTGCGGTGTCTTTGCTTTTTAATTTCCTTTACATATTATTTTGAATTTGAAATCTTACTTTTGTATTTTGATTAAAAACTCAACCCATTATGTTTACTTAACAATGTCTTCAAACCAACTAATCATTGATTTTTTCATCTTATTTGAGCTCACTTTTTCCTTTTAACTCTCTCAGCACATGAAAACAAACACTAAAAGAATAAGAACAAAACTTTCATAAGAAACTCAATTTTCTCTTTCTCAGATCATCTTATGGAGTGAGTAACCAAAATAGCTCAACCATGACTTCTTCTCACACTACCTTCGCGGCTGTCTCCTTCTTCCTCTTACTCACATCAACCGCGGTTTTCGTTTCAGCAGATTCAGCATCAGACGAACAAGCCCTTCTAAACTTTGCGGCATCAGTGCCACACCCACCAAAACTCAACTGGAACAAGAATCTTTCTCCGTGTACCTCATGGATCGGCATTACCTGTGATGACTCCAGCCGCGTTGTAGCCGTTCGTCTTCCTGGAGTTGGTCTTTACGGCTCAGTCCCTCCTGCTACGTTAGGCAAACTAGACGCTCTCAAAGTCCTTAGCCTCAGATCCAACTCTCTCTTTGGAACTTTACCTTCTGATATACTCTCACTCCCTTCTCTTCAGTACCTTTATCTTCAACACAACAACTTCTCCGGCGAACTCACTAATTCTTTGCCCTCGATCTCCACTCAGCTTGTTGTCTTGGACTTGTCCTATAACTCTTTCTCCGGTAATATTCCTTCCGGTCTCCGGAACTTGTCTCAGATCACTGTAGTGTACCTTCAAAACAACTCTTTTGATGGTTCCATTGATTCTCTTGATCTCCCGAGTATTAAGGTTGTAAACTTGAGTTATAACAACTTGAGTGGACCCATCCCTGAGCATCTCAAGGGCTCGCCGGAAAATTCTTTCATCGGAAACTCATTACTATGTGGTCCACCTCTGATTCCATGCTCAGGAGCAGCCATGTCTCCATCTTCAAACATTCCAAGACCGTTGTTAGAGAATCTCCATCCTGTCAGGAAGAGACAGAGTAAAGCTTACATAATCGCCATTATAGTCGGATGCTCTGTAGCCGTTCTTCTCCTTGGAGTTGTTTTCTTGGTTTGTCTGATGAAGAAGACGAAGACAGAAGAAGGCGGCGAAGGAGGGCGAACGCAGATGGGAGGAGTGACTAGCAAAAAACCGCAGGACTTCGGGAGCGGAGTTCAAGATCCAGAGAAGAACAAGCTCTTCTTCTTCGAAAGATGCAATCACAATTTCGACCTCGAGGATCTCTTGAAAGCTTCTGCTGAAGTTCTCGGTAAAGGGAGTTTCGGTACGGCCTACAAGGCTGTGCTTGAGGACACAACTGCGGTTGTGGTGAAACGTCTAAGAGAAGTCGTTGCAAGCAAGAAAGAGTTTGAACAGCAAATGGAGGTTGTCGGTAAGATTAACCAGCATCCCAATTTCGTACCGCTCCTTGCTTATTACTATTCGAAAGACGAGAAGCTATTGGTCTACAAGTATATGACACAAGGAAGCTTGTCCGGGATCTTGCACGGTGAGTCATTAGGAAACCGAGCCCTAACTTATATTTTGTAATTTAAAGCTTGTAGGTCACGAAAAAAGATTGTTTCCTTTTTTTAATCGGACAGGAAACAGAGGAGGAGTCAGAGGAGTAGACTGGGAAACGCGGATGAAGATCGCGACTGGGACTTCAAAAGCAATCTCTTACCTTCACTCTTTGAAATTCGTTCACGGAGACATCAAATCTTCCAACATACTTCTCAATGAAGACCTTGAGCCATGTCTCTCCGACACATCCTTAGTCACACTCTTTAACCTCCCAACTCACACACCGCGAACCATCGGCTACAATGCTCCTGAGGTGATTGAGACGAAGAGAGTCAGTCAAAGGTCAGACGTTTATAGCTTTGGTGTGGTGGTTCTCGAAATGCTAACCGGGAAGACACCTCTAACACAGCCTGGTCTTGAGGATGAGCGGGTGGTCATTGATCTTCCGAGATGGGTTCGGTCTGTTGTGAGGGAAGAGTGGACTGCAGAGGTTTTTGATGTGGAGCTCTTGAAGTTTCAGAACATTGAAGAGGAGATGGTTCAGATGCTTCAGCTTGCGTTGGCTTGTGTTACAAGGAATCCAGAGTCGAGGCCAAAGATGGAAGAGGTCGCTAGGATGATTGAAGATGTAAGGAGATGTGATCCGTTGCAGCAGTTACAGCAAAACAGAACATCCTCAGAGGCTACTTCAAATGTCTCTGAATGATTTCTCATTCCGACGAAAAGTTTCTTTGATCAATTCTACACTTCTGTCTTATTGAATGGTTGGTACTTTGTATCGTAGTTTAGTGCGTCGTGATCAAATTCTTATCCTGTGAATTTGATTCTCTTTGATTTTGTTTGTTACAAATAATTTCGTTTTGAATCGTGTAATGTAATACCATTTCCATAGCCAAAAATTGTCAAGATTCAATTAAAATCTGAAAACTTTATCGGGAGATATATGGACTGCTTTGCATTTTCGTCAAAGAAACAAAAACAAATATTCGTTTTCAGTTTGTAATTATAATCTTTCCAGAGTGACTAATAGTAAAATATTCTACACATAAAATTATGACACCACGACATAAGAACGGCACACAACATACAAAAATAAAAAGTGAACAAATAAAACAATGAAAAATAATTTAAATTCTGTGTTTGTCTTCTTCTTTTTACTCTCAAAACAGGTAAAATATTTGCTCACTTCTCAGCAGTTGATTCCACATTCCAAAATATCCGGGCCAGTGACTCGGCTAGTGAAGGGGTCAATCCTAACCCACAACAGCGAGAAGATGGAAGCCAAGAGAACAGACCAGACCACAACAATGGTAGGAGTCCGGTTCTGACGACCCATCAAACCCTTGAGGAAAGGGTACAAGTGAACAATCACCCAGAAGGCAAAGAACAACTTACCAAAGAGTGGTCCCCATGATTGGTATCCACTGTTGATAGCATAAGACACTCCTGCAACAACTCCCACGAGGTTTACAATGAGCAGTGTCGTTGGTGGAATCAGAAGCGTTGTCCATTTGAACAAGTAGAGCTCCGCAAAGTCTCCGTCTTCATCTGACGCTTTTGAGGTGACTGTGAAGTTTGTGTCAATACCGGCAAGGACTTTGAGGAGACCTTGAACCACGGCGAATAAGTGAGCAGATACTCCACCAATGACCCAAAACTGCTCGTTTCTCCACCATTCGTCTATTCTTACACCACTCCACCTCATTTCTAGTATACCCGTGGCAAAAATGGAGAGAAAGAGTGACA